CCCCTTAAACTCCTATTCAAGATTTTGAACGGCCATATTTGATTGGCAGAGGCTCAACCAAGTAGTAACAGCAAAGGATCTTTGGCTATGCCACGCAGAGAGGCGCGTGGGCGCGATGCACCTAAGAGGTGCAGCAAATTCCTCGGAGCCAACCCAAGGTCTTGGTATGGAGGTCAATGAGGTTTATGATACATGGTTCAGCCAAGGGTGAAATGCAGCTGTTGCATCACCCCAAAAATCGTCTTGGCTGAAGACATCAGGCACGAGACTTTGCCCTACAATCGCACGGCCCCAAAAACGATAGAAAACTGATATTATTTGAAGATACTAGGTACCTATCCTTTTTAATTATTCCTTTTTTAAAGGCACTGCTTGAAAGCATTCTGTCCGCACACGCAGCGTGCGAGGCAAGGGCGGACAAGAACAAAGCTCATCCCATGGATGGAATCACTCCCTTGTAGCCCGGCCGAATTTTGGATGATGCGACCAGCCTAGTGGCCTAGTGGCCTAGTGGTAGATGGGGACGATGGGGGTAGGACAAGTTACCAGCCTGAAATTGCCCTGTGATCCCTGTGGAAAAACATCCAGCTATACCAGCTATACCAGCTATCAGCCAGCTAGTGCTAGAAGATGGTACAAAAAGGATTCTGGCAAACTCATTTTGGTATCGTCGCAGTCATGCGAATAAACGACAAAATTCGCGGAAGACCAAAGTGCTAGGGAGTGGACTTGGGATGTTCAATTTTGTGTGAAAACCCTCACAACCGATAGGGGACCACCCACCTTGGCCATGTCCATTGCGAGTAGTAGGTAATTTTATCCGCCACTCATATGTTCTATCAACACCTCTTACTGCAATTCTCCACGACTAAATATCACAGCAAACATGCTTGTACCAAATACCCAGAGGGCAAACAACACAAATGGTGCCCATTTTGTGGGATCTCGAACTATTTTCCGATGAAAATAGTTCAGTTTTAATGGGATGAACACACTCGTTACTTTGCAGGTGATACTGATGCGACGTCACCAATGGACATGGTGATTTTGCTTTGTTTTTTGTGGTTTGGGCATCAAAGTTGTTTGTCAAATCAATGCATAAAAGTGTTGGACTCCGGTTCAATGCAACCATGTTGGCAACCACCAGAGGAAACCTCCAACCTTTGTCCGCGGATAGCTAAGGTATATCGCAGCAGGGGAGCATCAATTGGAAAGTTTGCAGCTGTTGATTCAGCACCAGGCGGCAAGATGAGCCGCGCTGGTTGGGCTGGAAGAGATAGGAACTGTGCATAGTATATAGATTGTAGATATTTTCTTGTTGAGATCAGGTGTTTCTGACAAAATCGTTCAATTGAACACAAATTATCAATACTTCACTGTGCCAAGAGAGCCTGTTAAGGTGCTTAGATTTTCATGATTTTTCTATTCTATTTTTCCTATGGTCCTAGGTTTCCTTTCTGTTGAGATGCCCTTTCACCGTTTTTTTTTTTTTCGGGTTCTGCCCCCCATTTTTTCAACGGAACCTGTTGGTCCATGGAACGGCTGGAGAGTGACCATCGGACCGGATCTTTGTGAACCTCTGTATATAGCTTATTTTGAAAAGATGAAACGGGCAGTTCTGAAGTTGTGAAGATGCCTTTCTTAGTTTATCACTATATATAATATATAATAATATATATATATATATATTGGTTTGATTTTTCACATCAGAACTGTTTTGTTCTGCATCACAACAAGTCTTCTGACATGTTTCATCTCAGCTGAGGAACCACATTTCTCTTGCGATTCCGCCCGTTTCTTTAAGATTCAGAGGAACATCATGGCCACTCTTAGTCTTAGATACCCTCGAAAAATAGAAACACAATGCAAACCACGTATCATTTTTAGCTGGTGTGGTTCATATTCATTCTTTCTATTATAAGTGTAACTAACACAAAAATTTAAATCACAGAAATTCAGCTACTCAGTTGGTAACTGGTCACCGCCAGGCCGATGTGAACCAGGCCTCTACAGAGCACGGCTTAACCCCGCTGCACTTGGCCGCAGAGGATGGTGCTCTGCAGGTGTTGCTTGGGCTCGCCATGAAATCACCAGTTTTTGAACATGAAATGGGATGTTTACATATGTTTACCATAGCTACCCTCTGGTAAACTAACATAGCTATGGGAAAACACCATTTTTAATGGGAAAATCCACTATAAATAGCCATTTTCAATAGCTAGGTTAAATTAACAGAGGGTATACGATGATATTTCTATTTTTTTGGACTACTTGGAGTTTGTTGCTGTTTGTTTTTCAAGATAAGTCACCCAAAAATCCAAAAAATCCAACGGCTTCCCACGGCTCAAGATGGACATTTTCCAGTGCAACTTCGGATGATGATTCCAACGATTCATTTTTTTCCGATGGCTCAACCATTGCTCGCGGCCAAGGTTGGATTCATTGCTCGTGGCCAAGGCGCATCTAGACGCTACGGCCGCAGTCATGGCAGTTTTTGTGTGTTTTTCCGGGCGAAGCGAAGCGAAGCTTCGTGGGTTGATCTGAAAATTGGGCCTTCAAATTTGATCTGGTTGGTGGTGACTGGAACATGGCTTTTATATCTTTTATGACTTTCCCATCATATTGGGAATAATCATCATCACAACTGTTACTCACTCCCTCACTCCATCATTTTTCAGAGGGGTTGGTGGCTCAACCACCAACCAGTGACGGATGATCATCATTTTCCTTCCCATCAGTTTTTTTTGAAGACCCAAATGGATTGAGAACCGACTGCAGCCGGGGCGACACGATTGAGCTACCCCAGTCGAGTGGTTAGGAGATATCCATATTCCCTGTTAAATGGGGAGCCAGTTGGAGCTACGAAATGAGTTTCCCAACCACATGACAGTCATGTAATGCATTAATGTACGTGGTGACTATAGTTGCAATCTAGTTATATCCAAGTAGATTGCGGTATATTCACGGGCATAACTGGCCAATATATCAGGGTGTGTATTATATCCCAGTTACACCCCGGCTGCCTTCTTTTTGTGAGACGTATAATGCTCGAATGCAACTAGTTGCAGAAACTGCTGAATTTACAAGACCAAGCTGGATATGTAGTCTTTGATTGTAAAGGATTTATATTGCTACCGGCAATCCAATATGGTTTGATGGACATTCCCCATTTAGGGTGATCCCATCGATCGTGTAGCGATTGTACCAATTGATTTATCATGAAATGGTGCAATCTTCATTAGTGTATCATAGGGTAATTATTAAAAAATCACATGTTCCATGCAGCTGTTTTAATCAACATGTGCCAGTTCATGAACAATTCATGGGTAGTTGATGGTTGACCACCCATAAGTCTGTCTATAGAGAGGTCTATAGCATATTAATGATTGCTACCCCAATTTACACCCCAGTTCCCCTCCGGTAATCAAACATGGCAATCGATTTTCCATGGAGTTTCCCATCAACATCTTCATTTTTCCATGGATTTGTCAAAAAATCCATGGATTTTTCATGATTTTTCCATGGATTTGTCCAACTTTTCCATGGATTTGTCCAAAAATTCCATGGATTTTCCAACGTTTCCATGGATTTTTCCAAAGCCGAGGATCGGCAGGATCTACGTGGCGCCACAGCACTGCACCTGGCCTGTGAAGAAGGACACGTTGGAGCGGCTCGGAGATTCGGGCATTGCGGCATGACTGGGAATGGGAAACACATCACCTATGGGACCTATGGAAATGGTGATGACTGGGGGATGGTTTATTATTGCTATAACCTCTGGTAAGCATACAAAAAACATGAAAAAACTATGGAACATCACAATTTTTAATGGGTAAATCAACTAATTATTTTTAAACGGCCATTTTCAATATAGCTACGTTAAATTACCAGAGGGTAAAAAGAAATGATACTTCAAAAACATGATGGATTTTAGGGCTATCGTTTTGAAATTGTCTGATTAGAGGGTAAAAATATGATTGTATATATATACATAATATTATAACCTTATCATTATCATATCTAGTCATAAAATCCATCTAACAGACTTTATGAATAATTGCTATACGTACCATAACCAGTATAATTATAGATTTTGGGATGATGTTGGGGGTAAAACCATCTGGGGATTTCTCGCTAGTCACTAGGGGTACAAACCAACTGAAAATTCGAAACACAACTATATCACAATACATAGAAGGGAGATAGGTATACCCTCTGGTAATTTAACATAGCTATTGAAAATGACCATTTATAGTGAGTTTTCCCATTAAACATGGTGATTTTCTATAGTTATGTTAGTTTACCAGAGGGTAACTTCCGCATGGTTCCCCATCAATTCCCCGTGGATGAGAAACCTCCGCATCGTGATTTTTCTCAGGTGGCCTTTCTTCTCATCGAGGCCAAGGCCAACCTCAACCTGCCCGAGAACACCCGAGGATCCACCCCGTTACACGTGACCTGCAGCGCGGTGGCACCGTTGTTTCAATCACGGCCGATTTTTTTTCGGACGCTTGGGGAGTCGCAGTGGCAGATTTGCTCCCCAAAAACTTGGGGATGAAAATCCATTTGGGGTATCCGATTTGGACCTCACAAATCCACTATTTGAAATGGTCAAAAAAGACCCCTAAAATAAGCCCCTTTGCCAAGATCATGGGACGGTCGTACCCCATACCCTGAGCATGGGTCAGTCAGAACCACCAAAGCCGAGAATGGAGTGTTGTTCAAATTCAAACATGACCTTTTCGGACCTTGAGCCGAAGGTTAAAGCTGGCTTTTGACCCAGTTTTACATGAATGCACCAATGGATACTTTTCTGGAAATCCCACCATTGATTTTTTGATGAGGTACCCAAAATAATTTTCATGGATTTCGGTTCTTTGATGAGTCAAATTAGGAACCACATTGTGAGCTTATCAAATTCCCTGCAGAGCGAGAACCCTGCAGTATTGGAACACATATTGGTTGTTTATTTTTGGCTTCTTTCCTGAGACCCTCTGGTAATCGTTAAGACCGTTAAGAGTTTGCGACCTGGAACATCACCATTTTGTGAAAATAGGGTAAAAAAACCCACAAACGAGCCATTTTCCACGAATTGTAACTTAAGTATTCCATCAATATCCCATTGCCTCCCAATTAGTATCCTAAACCACCATTTTTGATGGTTAAACTGGGTGAAATGACAGTTTCCATCCAGCTGATTTTCCGCGATTTTCCGCGATTTTTTGGATCCACTTTGAGGTAAGAAGAATCAACTGGCCACTGCACAGCTGCTGTTAGGGGCAATGGCTGCACTGGACCCTGTGGACTGCAGAGGACAATTTGGAACGTGGGCATTGACATTTTATTCAACAATATTCAACACTTTTAAGTAGACATTTCAGAAATGGAATGGGAACTGTGAGGATGCCCACTTTCCATTCGGGTCAGTATCTTCAGGTCAGTAGAAACCTCCATTGATTGGGTATCTCCATTGTTGCAATCTCAAAGAGTTCCAAATCATAGTTGCCAATCAGCTATCCCAAATTATTGAAGCCATGATATTCCAAATCACCACAATATGAATCCCATATCAAATCACTATTAGAATGAATGCCATTGGTTGTCCCATTAAATCACCATGTGAATCCCATTAAAGTCACTAGATTCCCATCATCTCCCCATGTCAAACCCCTGAGGATCGACCCCTCTGCGGGTGGCGTGCCAACGCCGCGCCTTCGCGTTGGCGCGGCTGCTGATGGCCAGAAATGCCGACGTGGACAAGGCTTTGAGGACGGAGAGAGCCAGGAAGCTACTTGGTCGGGATACCATCAATGTGGGGGATGAGGACCTACCAGAGGATACCATGGGGTTTTAATATGGATATATATATATATATCTATGGATTAGTATAGAAACCTGGCGTACCATTTATATAATTAGGTCTATTATTTGGATAAACTAACAGTTCAATGTCGAATTTACCCTATGGTTTATGTAGATGTAGATTGTAAATGGGTTTCAATATGTTTCAATATGGGAATTTCTTAAGGCATGGTGGAAAACTAACATTTACAGTAGTGGTTTGTTTACCTTAGGGTCAGTTTTCCACATCAAACTAACAGCTGTTTCTTGCTATCTAATGACCCCAAGGTAAACTAACAGTTCGGTGTGGAATTTACCTATGGTTTATGCAGATAGTAAGTGTGTTTCAATATGTTTCAATATGGGGATTTCTTGAAATGGGTTTATAACTATATTTGTTGATTGATTTACCTCTCTACATATGATACATATCATGTAGAATTATTATTGCTATTCTTATATCATTATCTATTTGTATCTTTTTACATATTTTTTAAACAGTCATTGTTATTCATTTTTGGCGAAAATGTAATGTATTTCTCATATCAACCAGATCAACCAGAATTTTTTTCGGGCTAGCTTTTCTCCCAGGTTGGACACTTCGCTTTCCCCCAACGTCCTAACGCTCATCGCCCACGATGACGCCAACGGGTCGGGCGAGCGCAGCGTTTCGAAGAAGCGCTGCTTCGGCGCCAGCGAGACGGACACGCTGGAGACTGCGGTCGAAAATTCAAGGGGAATCCAGTGATGCGAGGGTGAAAACCGGTTATTGCATGTTATTAATTGCCAGATTTGAGGGAATAACCACCCATAAACCAGATATTTTATGGTACCTATATTAATTGCCAAATTTGGGGGAATAACCATCCATAAACATCCATAAACCAGATATTTTATGGTACCTACCAGGGTTTTGACTCATAGCCATGTGGTTGTTTTTTTTTAGCCGTTTTAATCAGCAAAGAAGGTGGATTTTTCATGGATGAATGTCTGGAATGTCTGGTGTCATCAAACATGGCTTGCGGATGATGATCCCATTTTATAGATGCTGACCCAATGAAATGTCCATTTTTTATATAGGATTTTTCAGCCTGCCATGTTTGATATTGTTTGATTGCTGGGTGAAAACCTTTGTTTTGATTCCGCCGTACTCACGGCATGAAAAGAACACATCGCCCATCGCGTCTGGGCGTGGTGCAATGAGGATCTCCCAGCCCCGACCCTCGGCAGGCCATGGTTCGCATGCCGGCGCCCACTGCCGTGTCGGTGAGCGCAGTGATCTTGGCCTGTGAGAGGCGTGCAGATCAGAATCAGATAAACTTACCATGATTCCCATGATATTTGTGGCATAATATCATACTAAATATCAGTAGTTCAGTAATATGGTTCATAATTCATATAATTCTTATTATACTGAATATTAGTATGGTTTCATTATTTATTCCCAATAATACCTCTTATTTTTTGAACAAACCTAAATATCATACTGTTGGCGCTTCGATCTTCGATTTGGTCGTAGATTTTCGAGCAAAAAATTTCCCAAGAAATGCCTTCTGCCATGTTGCTGAGTCAACCGTGGACACTTCAAAGAACTAGGGATGTATTGACCTACCCTCTGGTAAACGTTGACATATCTATATGGACAATCACCATTTTTAATGGATTTTTATCAACTGTTTCTATGGTCATTTTCCAGTTCGCAAACTATTTGTTTACCAGAGTGTAAACATCTCACATTTCAGGAAAATTCTGGAAATATCTCAGATTGGCCATGGTTCCCACGTGAAATCCGCCGCGCAGGGCCTACCAGTGGGACATGGTGCTGAACCTGCTGGAGCGCGGGCGGCTGGATCGCTTGCTGCGAGACCAAGCACCAGAGGTGAAGGAGGCCGGGGAAGATGTGGGGAATTTCCGAATGATATCAGGTATATTCCTATGATGAATGGGATTACAATGGCCTCAGAATGGTGAATACTTGGATATTTAATGTGATATACCATCCAGTAATCAAACACGACACTGGAAAATCTACCATTTTTATGGAGGGTTTTGCCTTTAAAACCTCGATTTATGATATCCAGTTGTCATGTTTGATGACTTGGAGGTTTAGAGCTGGGAAATCGAACTTGATGGTGGATTTCTAATTGCTATGTTTGATACTGGAGGGTAGATGTTTTTACTCTCCAAGATGGAGGTCTACCATAGAAAAGTCTTCATTACCAGCTGGTACAATCATGTTACATTTTTTAAAACTCATTTTTGATGGTCGAATCAGTTGAATGCACGCATTTTCACCGTTAAAATCCCAATGTTTCGATGGTTCCCCTCAGGTAAGTAATTTATCATAGCTATGGAACATCACATTTTGTTTATAGAATTCAACAAAATCAATGGGCCATGGCTTCCATAGCGTAGTGTGAAAAAACTTGCCAGAAATTATCCGTTGAAATAGGACATCCCGGTTATCATATGTTATCTCAATTCTATATCATTTATAATTCCTATTACCCTCTGGTAAATTAACATAGACCCTGGCATTAGAAAACGGGGTTGGAAGATTAGTTTCCTCTAACAATTGGTGATTTTCAGGGTCCAACTGTTTATTTACCAGAGGGTATATCCCAATGATGTCTCCTGAGATGGTGACATCCCCATGAAAAATCCAGGGCCGCACTGGGCGGCAGCGCGCTGCTGAGCTGGCCATGTTGACGGCAGCGTGCCGGGCCTGTTCCTGGATCTTCAATCAAAAGGGGTGGGTAAAACGGTCCCATTTCGTCGGGAAACGTTGATAACTGTTGGATTTTTAGTGGATTTTTATGGAATTATGGGTTTTTATGGATTTACCCTCTGGTAAACGTTTACATAACTATGGAACATCACCATTTTTAATGGAAAAACTCACTATAAATGGGGCATTTTCAATAGCTATTTTGACATAACCAGAGGGTAGTTGATGATTTTTCTGGATTAGTTGAGGTAATCATGGCTGGCTGGGGAATCCACCTTAAGAGGTTCTTATCGCCGCGCAGAGCACAGGGTTGATGATGTATGTGAAGCCGTGATGAAAGCGAAAACTCTAAATTTTCAGTATCAAGAATGGACTATTTTCTACGAAATGTGGGGTATGTACAGTGTGGTTATACCCCAACAACAAACCTCCTCCCATCGGCATGATTTTTTGAAGCCTGCGGTCGCTTTTTCCATAGGCAAATCCTTGTTTCATCGAATGAAAACCATCAGAGGCAGGGCTGAAATGCAAGATGCATACCACGATCAGAGCTCTTTGGTTCAAGATGTAGGGCTTTGTAGTCATGAGCACTTTCTCTGTCCTTGCATGTTTCAAGTCAGTGTTGGTTTGCCCAGTGGTCGAAGTGAAGAATTTTCAATTCCACAGTCCTCCAAAGTCGGGGATTTCCAGATTTTAGCCCCAAAGTCTTGTCCGGTTGGTTTCTTGAGGCTGGTTACTGCCGAGGGCCGTCAGCTGGTAGATCCCACTGAATCTCTCCAGTGGTGCGGAGTTCAGAATGGTGATCACCTGACAGCGATCGTTTTGGAAGCGAAGCCGCAAGTCGAAGAAGCTTTCGCCCTCTGGTGCTATGGTGGTGACAAAATCCTCACATGGGGCAACCCGGAGTTTGGTGGTGACAACTCTCAAGTTCAAGATCAGCTGAGGCGTGTGCAGCAGCTTCAGGCCACTGGACGTGCATTTGCTGCGATCCTGGCCGATGGATCAGTCATTACCTGGGGCCATCCAGGTTACGGTGGTGACAGTTCTGAGGTACGGGATCAGCTCCAGAATGTGCGCCAGGTTCAGGCCACTGAAAGTGCATTCGCTGCCATCCGAGCAGATGGATCCGCTGTTACTTGGGGCGATCCAGATGCTGGTGGTGTTAGCACCGAAATCCAAGAGAAGCTCAATGGTGTACAGCAGATTCAGGCCACTGGACGTGCCTTTGCTGCGATTCTCGCAGATGGACATGTGGTGACCTGGGGCTCTGAGTCGTGCGGTGGCGACAGCTCTGAAGTACGAGTTGAGCTTAGGACGGTCCAGCAGATTCAGGCCACTGGGCATGCATTTGCTGCCATCCTGGCAAATGGATCAGTAGTTACCTGGGGCCATCCAGGTTACGGCGGTGACAGCTCTAAAGTCCGAGACAAGCTTGGGAAGGTAAGGCAGATTCAAGCCACTTCAGGAGCATTTGCTGCAATTCTGACTGATGGATCGGTCGTTACCTGGGGTGATCCAATCTGTGGCGGCGATAGCTCGGATGTTCAACACAGACATGTTGGAATTCCTGCACTTTGTTTTGGTCACCGGCCCATGGACCGGGGCCAGCTCAGCGGTGTGCAGCAGATTCAGGCCACTGGACGTGCTTTTGCTGCGATTCTCTCAGATGGACATGTGGTGACCTGGGGTTGCCCATTTTGTGGCGGTGACAGCTCGGACGTGCGACTTGAACTGAGGAGTGTTCAGGCAGTTCAGGCCACAGCACGAGCTTTTGCTGCGATCCTGTCAAGTGGATCAGTAGTCACGTGGGGCCATCCTGGCTACGGTGGTGACAGCTGTAAAGTCCGAGACAATCTCTATAATGTTTGGCAGATTCAGGCCACTGAAAGCGCATTTGCGGCTATCCGAGCAGATGGATCCGCTATTGCCTGGGGCGCTTCAGGTTATACTGGTGCACAATTGATGTGATTTGAGATCACTGCAGAAATTCTGGCGGCTGCAAACTTGTCTTTATGTTTTGGATCAGATATCTTTTTGTTGGTTTTGTTGGATGTTAGTATCTGGAACTGGTTGGGTGGCAAATACGCCAGCCTGCCAGTCAAGGTTTGCAGTCAGAATATCTATATTGTTGCTGCGCTTGGAGGTGCGGTATGCTCTAGGGAAAAAAGACATTCACTTCCGCGGAAGAGCTCCCCTGATCATCTTTTGGCGAACAGGACCCATGACTCCAGTGACCGCTGTTCTTATGGCAAGGCGTCCAGCCCAAGTTGATCTGGATTGTTTAACTTCACTTGGCTTGATTCTGAACATGCATTCAAATGCATTCAATAATCCAGGTACTATTACTAGAAATACTAAAGTACTGAAGATATCTAAAGATATCTAAAGATACTGTATCTAAAGATACTAGATAAACATATCCAAGCAACATGTTCCCAACATGTTGTTCCATTACACCATAAAATGGCCCGCAGCTCGATGACCAATGCTGCCTCAAACATGTTTCAACACCTCTATATGTTTATTAATTTTTATTCATATCCAGCATTTTACCAACATGTGCCCCATCTCATTTTCATTCATTTTCTCTATATCTTCATTCATTTTCATTCATTTTCATTCATTTCCCCAAGCTTTTTACAGATGTTTCAACATGTTCCTGCGCCTCACCCGCCATTCACAGCCCAGGCGATGTGGCAGATCAATGGCGCAGCTCTCTGGAGTTGCTGCCCAAGATGTTGGCAGGCACTGAGAAAAGCCTTAGTTCATTTCCTGGATTTTTCTGATGGGAATCTTTGGGACATCTATAAATCATTATAAAGATATGTATGATATATAATATATATATAAATATATATATAACTATATACACACACATATATATATATATACACTATACATCTATAAATCTATAATGGATATGTAAGGGTTTGACTGGAAAAAACGTGTATGACATAAATCCAGCGGCTTTTGGGGGTATATCCAATTTCTAGACAAATCCATATGGCAAATCTTTGGGAAATACATTGACGTGATTAATTATATGTGTAAAAATATATATGGGACATCTATAAACCTATTAGGGTAGTTCCAGAAGTCAGCTGTATGGGCAAACATTCATATGCAAACATGGAAAAGAACTCAGTTGAACACATCCAATGAACTTGGCATTGAATGGAGAGAAAGTGAATCTACCCTCTGGTTATGTCAAAGTAGCTATTGAAAATGGCAATTTATAGTGGATTTTCCCATTGAAAATGGTGATTTTCCATAGCTATGTTAGTTTACCAGAGGGTAATTTGAGGACACGCTGGGAACAGACGCTCCCTGTCTCACATGCTGCCGATTCACCAGCCGCAACGCACGAAGGATCTTCACTGGAGCCCAATGTCTTCACCTTCGGAACGGCCTTTCAAATCTGTGCGCCATTGGTGGTTGGGATGACATGGGATGACCTTAAAAATGTGAGTTGAGTGTTCTACTTCAATAGATGGGACATCATGGGACTTCGAGAGTTTGGTCATCAAAATGCGTCGCCAGAAATAGACTCGGGCAAGATGCGCTCGTGATGGTTTTTCACCAAGTTCTGAGTGGATTGCATTGGAGCGCCTCAGTGATTGGGATTTTTTGATCGGGCTATATAACTATAAATAACTCAAAAAATCACTGAAGATTTCAGAGTGAATTATCATACTTCAGCCAGAATATGACTGTGATGTTTGGAAACCATGGCCCAATGGCTCTCTATTGGATACCGTCCTGGTCTGTTGTTTGGTGAGGTGAAATCATCATCAAAGGGGCTGTCAACTGGCTGACCAAGTTTAGCTAAAATTCTATCAAGTCAAATCAAGAATCGAGAAAAAATCCAGGTTTACTCATTTTACTCATTGGATCAATACCTATATAGATACATTTTTAGGGGGATGAACATCCATAAATCCCAGCTATTTTGGGGTGAACTACAGGGGTACAAGGTTTTGACCCATCCCCATTTTACTCAACATTAATCTGGTCTAATGATTAGCGGAATCCCAACATTTCGGTTGTTTCACCTGTCGAAGCCAGGTTCGCACGGACAGGGCCAGCAAGCCTTGAGGTGGTACCAGGAGCCATGAAAAAGATGTATGGCGGTACCAGTATCCATTAGCAATGGATCATGGATATTATGATTTTTATCATGAATAATATATGAAGTATTAGTATAATTTCTATATAATTTTTCTATAGTATGTTTTCTTGGGGGTTATATAAGCATTATAAGCAGATATCTGGAGAAATTCGATCAGGACAGATATCTCAAGCTCACTGGAATGATGGGGATAGACACGAGTAGCGGATAGCTCCCAGGGCTGGGGCATTGGTGGGGGGTGATTGGTGAAAAACCATAGGGATACAATACCAAGAACTGAGGCCATTTTCACACGAATGAACTATCAAAACAAGGACTTAAGATGACTTACTGGAGGTAACCAACAAATGAAGATGGTTGGTAGGATGTATAGGATCCAAAAAGATTACCATGGGGATAGAGGTCTGCCCTCTTTTTTTTTCATAGTTTGCTATGGAAAATCACCAGTTTTGATATATTGCAGAAAGGATAAGTCATCGAACTCAGCCAGGGCCATCTGTAGCATGGCTATGTCATTATGTAACAATTTGCTGGAGGACAAGCAGCAAGGTCAGATTTAACCAAGCAGAATGATGATTTTACCATCAGAATGGGGATACAATAGCAATGTGATTTGACATATGAGGGGTGAATGGAACAGCTCTTTATGTACATGGATCTAGCCTGATATACTGGGATGCCATCTCCAATATTTTGTTGTTGACATATTGAAGTATAATTATGGCAGTTTTAATGGGTGACATGAGGCTTGAAACACCATCAAATTTGGTCTTTTTCCCTAAATGTTCAACCGCACCCAACTTGATGATTTTTCTGTCGAATATGGTGGTTTTCCAGTGACATGCAGAGGGTATTGATTACACGAGTATTGGTTGAGCAAGCAACTCATGCTCTGGCAAATCTGTATCAGGTGCTTGACAAAATTGGAATACCCTCTGGCGAAAATGGCCGAGTCGAAATAGTGAGTTTTCCCATGAAAAATGCTGGATCTTTCCAGTTCGCAAAATGTCAACGTTTACCAGGCCGGGTAATTGTTTCTCCCATTTCACATACAGCTTCATGACTAGATCTTCACCAGAGGGTACATGTCAGGTCAGCAAAATCAGGGGAATCTGAGGGATTTGGTTGATAGTCTATGATAGTCATACCATGTTATACCATGTTATATCATGTTATATCCCCATTGGTGATCATAAGTCTATTCCTCTTATTATTCGATGCGATGAAATGATGAAATATCACACTGCTTGTTGATTACCCCCAATAAGATCCTCTGGTAATCATGGCAATGAACAATTCCGTATCTATAGATTATTCTCCCAGCTAGAAACATCTATTTAAAAAGTCGATTTCCCAGCCATGTTTGACTACCAGAGGGTAAATCACGAAGGAAAAAACCGGGATGTAACAATCCTCGAATCACTAGAACTGGGTTTTTTTTTCACCATAAAACATAGGGAATGATTCAATGAATTTCACCATTCATTGGATTGGTTTAAGGGAAAATCTACGGGAAACCATCGATTTTCCCATTAAATATGGGGTTTTCCTGTAAATTTTCCCTTAAACCAATCCATTGAACCATAAAACGCCCAGGGATTTGGTTGGTTTTTTTGGATCTTCCTGATCCCATCCCCAACATCTCCACCGATGGTTGCAGGAGATGCGAAGGCTGAGTCTGGAGCCCGGTATCATCTCTCACAACCAGGCGCGTCTGGAGATGTCAAGGAGAATGGGGAAGATTTTTTTGGCATCTCAATGGGGAAAACATGGGACAAGATCACATAATTTTAATATGGAAGATTATATGAAAGATTATATCATATCAATGCATACTTTGATATTTTTGTGTTAATGTTTGAAGCTATTGGATCTTGGGTGCACATGGCCACATGGCACTGCAGATGGTTTTATTATCAGTCAGTGGTTTTTTTTTACCTTGTTTTTTCATAAATCACATCTTATGAAGTGATGTTGATGACGCTTTCTCCTGGGCTTGCTTCGTTTTTTCCCAAAAAATTCCCCGTGGGATGGATCTGGCAGGTCATGCGGGCTTTGACCAGCAGCCAGCTTTGGGAAAAGTCCTTGGATCTGCTGGCAGGCTGAAACGATCCGATGGATCATGGGACCCGATCCGACCCTTGGATCCTGTTGGTTCCACCAGCCGGAGAAACAGACACCCATTTCACAAAAAAAGATTTCACCTGCACCGATTGCGGTACGAATGGAATCTCATCTGGCATGTGTAGATAATTCCAGCCCAATGAAGTTCAATCCAAGTTCACCTTGCTTGTGCGTATGTATAGCAACCCCCAAGAAAGATAGAACAGGAACTTCCAATCCCTGAAAGGCCCTGAAAGAGAACTTCAAACAGTTTTTCCGGATATTTGCATTACAATTGACAATGTCTGTCATTCCACATCCATGGCTGCTGGTACCCCACCGTGGTGGTCCCCTGCGCAGGTGCTGAGCAAGAAGCTCTGCAGAGAAGTGAGGTCACGGTGAGCAGCGCGGTGAAGAATGACCTACGCTGGGCTCAGGCAGAACGATGCATCGGATGGTGAGGTGAGATTATTTACCCCCCTGTTAAAAAGGACAAGGAACATATGGGAAAAGAACTGGAAAAATATGGGTTCTGGATGGTTCCAGTGGATCTAACCAACCATTTTGTGCTGGTAGTGATAGATATTGTGGGAGAAACATGGGATGTGACATGATTTGACAATGATTTGTCCTGGTTGCTCCAACCCATTAGCAAATGATAGCCACCCATAAAAAGCCCCGTATCTGGAAGGTCACTATTGCAACGTTGATGGCCATTGTATGGGTAAATGGTGATTATTGGCTATGTGTTTTTCTACTATGTGATTTTACATGGGCTATTTACATGGGAAAATGTGATTATGGCTATTGTATGGGGAAAATGGAGATTTTTTTTTGGGGGTTGTTCCGTTTTCAGACAAACCCAATGCTCAAATGTTTCGACCAGCGGTCGTGCTTGGGTCGAAGCTTGTTGGCATGCAATGGCAGCGGTTAAAGGAAACATCTCTACATGTTGGCATGCATTGCATCACCAAACGTTCAATGTACAAGCACCCTTAGGATTTCAGAGTTGGAACATTGAAATTGGGAGATTCATGCATATTCTTAATCGACTTCTCTCCGTTTTTCTACTCTGAGGCTGCATATAGGCTGAAATGGGTTTGTCAGAAAATAAGGTAAAACTAAAACCACTGGTTGATCCTCATTTTCACATCAAAATCACCTTTTTGGTGTGTACCGCAATGTTCAGATGCAGCCTTATTTTTTTGCAAACGGAGAGGATGCCGTCTCGACCCCGGGTCTTCGTAGGTTGAAACCCATGGTAACTCATGGCGGTTTCAAGAAACAGCCGATGTTTGATGGTAAACATCTACCAGTAGTAGAGCAGCAGCGGCGGTCGCGGAAGTTTCAAAGATAGGACACGAAAGTGGAGAGGTGAGTTGTTGTGATGCATGGATGGCAGAGCGAATCCACTGATGGACCGAAAGGTGGTTGGAGTTGTGTTTTTTGGAGTGGCTGCAATGGCTGCAATGGTTGCAGTGGTCACCTCACCCACAACTGCTGGATGTAGTGTGGTGTAGTGCAGCTGTAGTTGTAGTGTAGTGGAGTTGTAGTTGTAGTGTAGTGTAATTGGTGTGGTGCAGTTGCAGTTGTGGTGTGGTGTAATGAGTGTAGTGCAATGTAATGTAGTGTAGTGTGTTGTAGTGTTGCGTGCTGTAGTGTAGTCTAGTCTAGTCTAGTCTAGTCAGTCTAGTGTGGGGTGGTGTGGTGTAGTGTGGTGTAGTGGAGTGTAGTGTAGTGTAGTGGAGTGTAGGGTAGTGTAGTGTAATGTTGTGTAGTTGTAGTTGTCGTTGTCGTTGTCGTTAGTGTAGTGTAGCGCAGTGTAGTGTAATGTAATTAGCGTAGTGTAGTGTAATGTAGTTGTAGTTGTAGCTGCATTTGTATGTGTATTTGTAATGTGGTGTAATTTAGTGTAGTGTCGTGTAGTGAAGTGAAGTGGAGTGTAGTGTAGTGTGGTGTAATTAGTGTTGTGTAGTGTAGTTGTAGTTGTCGTTGTAGTTGTAGTTGTAGTTAGTGTAGCGTACTGTCTTGCAGTGTAGTGTAATGTAGTGTAGTTGTAGTTGTATTTGTATGTGTATTTGTAGTTGTAGTGTAGTGGAGTGTAGGGTAGTGTAGTGGTGGTTGTAGTTGAAACTGCTACAAAACCCTCACGTTCTGCTCACTTTTGACAAGGTGAATAATCCCTTGCGCCTGCCACGCAAAATGATATCTGAACGTCCAGAAGTGCTCCGAACCCATCAGTTTTTTACCCTTTTGACTTCGAAATGCGCTTCGCGCCACAGCGGTGTACACTTTTTCGACATCTCAACTTCCAAAAGTGGTCCGAACATGGTGTGTTTTGTACTTTTTGACTTGGACATGTGCTTCGCGCCACACCGGTGTGCACTTTTTCGACCTCTCAACTTCCAAAAGTGTTCCAAACATGGTGTGTTTTGTAGATTTTGACTTGGAAATGTGCTTCGTGCCACAACAGCGTGCGCTTCTTCGACATCTCAACTTCCAAAAGTGGTCCGAACATGGTGCGTTCTTTACATTTTGACTTGGACATGTGCTTCGCGCCACAACGGCGTGCACTTTTTCAACATCTCAACTTCCAAAAGTGGTCCGACGTTGGTGTGTTTTGTACATTTTGACTTGGAAATGTGCTTCGCGCCACAACGGTGTGCAACTTTTCATCTCTCATCTGACCACATGGCTTCGCACCCGCCGCTTTAGCGAGCCTACTTTTCGACCCTCTGGAGCCACAGATCATTGGAAAAGAACAAAGTGTTTCTCGACTTTCCTACCTTTTCGCGCACCTGCATCTTCTTTCTTCTCATTCTTTCTCTTCTCTGATCTTCTCTCTTCGGCTCTTCTCCTCTCTGACTCTTCCCACCTCTGCTTTCCATCTGTCCATGTTGTCGGAAGTTTGACTTGTAAACTTCCTTCGATGATTTCGAAATTTCCTCCAGATTTCCGACCTTTCTTCCCTGAAAGTCAATCTATTGAACAAAACCGACCACACAGTGGTTGATTGGTTGATTGTTTTTTTTGGGACGGCGTTCCAGCAACCTGGGCGCTGTAAAAACCCAGAAAAACTGACATTAGCGGGCTGGGGTTCAGCAATCACAATCTGTTGGTGAAGATCATCTGCTTTGGCCATGGGGTCCCCTATGCTGCGATGCAGGTGATCCAAGTCCTTCGCGATGCACGAAGGAGATCCGTGCAATCCAATGAGATGCTTGAACTGACGTGACTGATTTCACCAACACATTGGGAGCAACAAAACATTGGGAGTTAAGCAACCAAAATTGGTTGATTTCAACAGCAACATGCATAAACAACATGGGGTTCAGCCCAACAAGAATGGGCGATTTTAGCAGCAAAACATGGGGAATCAAACAAGAAAAATGGGGTTATATAGATTGCTGGAAGGATATAATCCTAAAAGTTGGTCGTTTGAAGTTTGGCAACGATTCTAATTTGCACAGACGATATGCCATCGGCTGTTGAGTAACAAAACATGCAGGACCATCAACATGAATATATATATATATATATTGTATTATATTGTATGTATATGTACTGTATTTATATCACATACGTATACATATATGTGCAGATATGGCCATATTAAAGAAATTGGGGACAATGAGACCAAGAAAACTATAGAAAAAATATAACAAGGACGTATCATTGATGGTTTATTGGAGTTGGAGATCCTGGGCACAGATGATTTTCCCACACCTTTGATTAAGGGAGGGTAGTGCCTTCTTTTGGAAAGCAAGGATTCAACGACTTCCCAGACATGTTTAGAATTGTCTTTTCTTTGCATCGTCATGCTTTCCCAGTTCATATTAACCCGCTTTGTTGCTCCAAGTTCACAACAACCCGGTGTCTTCACCCCAAAACACCTAGAAAGTGTTTTTTTTTTCATGTTCCTTCCAACCAAAAACCTGGCTTCACCGGGGTCCTTCGATGTGGGGCCCCGGGCGGCCGCTCAGGATCATCGCCGGGTCAGCCTTCACGACCGCAGCACGGGACACGACCTTCCCCTGGCAATGCGCCAGCGCGAAGCTTCGGTGGAAACAGAACTGCCACGGTTGGAAGTTTCGTCACCCCCAAAAAAGATGTGGAAAACAACCATGGCAACAATGTGGGAAAATCCCAAATCTATCCCAAATCCTTCAGGAAAAAAATGTGGGAAAGAGTGAAACTGCCATTGCTATCATTGTTTACAGAAGGATTAGATGTGGAAAAGTGATTTATCACTACTCTGAGACGGTTTTTCTTCAAATTCATCATTTTGAGGTTTTCTGTAGTAAAAATGGCCCACAAAACCCTGGGGGGTTTGGTGAATGATGGGGATGTAACTAGCGATGGAGAGGCTCTTCTCACAAACGTGTGGACGTAAGCACCATCTGGAGATCTTGAACAATCAGGGGATCTAGAGTAACTGTGAGTAGCTGTGAGCGAAGTGACTAAAGGATGAGAGTCTCCCACAAGCATTGTCGATTTAAGTCGTCAGCCAGCCTCAGCTGCAAGTTTCCCATGGTAGGGACAGGTGGGCCAGCCTGAAAGAAAGGTCTAGATCCGCCCTCCGAAGTGCAACCCTGAAAGTCGGTGAATTCGCCTATACTCCAACCTGTCCAAACTGGCAATGGACAAATCCTAATCCTTTATCCTTTATTCAATGCAGATGATGTTCAGATTTTTCCCGAATGCGTAGCAAGGGTTCCCGTTTCACTCTGGGGGTCTGGGGGTTGAGGGTGTGTTCGCTCGACGTTGCGTTTGTGGTCGCAACCGTTCGCAACCGTTCGCAACCGTCCGCAACCGTCCGTGCGAGGTCCGTATGGCCGTGCCTATGGGAAGTTTTGCAGAGGTGGTCATTTTTGGAGGTTGCAGACGTGTCGTTGCTTCGTTTCGCGTGGCAGGCGTGGCACTTTGTGACATTCAGACGTGTTTTGCAACGTGTGGAAAATCGTTTTGCATGGCAGGCGCAATACTTTTGTGACGTTTTCAAAAGATGTGTTGCAGTTTTCGTGGCAGGCGCAGCACTTTGGACGTGTCCATCGTCATTTTTCGTGGCAGGCGCAGCACTTTAGACGTGTCCTGTTGCGTGTTTTTTGTAAATCGCATTGGCAGGGCTGCGTCAAGTGGTGACAAAGTGCAAATTCCGTGGCAGGCGTGGCATTTTCTGACATGTGTTGAAAATTGACGGAAGCCTCGCACGAAACATCGATTTTGGGGTTGCAAACTTTCAGGTTCTAAGGAAAACTCGTAGGAAAACGTCGAGTTTGAAGCTGCAAAGTGTCAAAATTGGAGGAAGTCTCGCACGAAATGCTCGTTTTGGTGCTCCCACCTGTCTCTTCTGGCATGTCTGGTTTTCCCGTGGCCTCGCCGTGTCTATGGGGGAAGCTGCAAAACTTGTCCTTTTGTTATTTTTTCCAACTGTGAAAATTGGAGGAAGTCTCGCACGAAATGCTGGTTTTTCTGCATCCACGTGTCTTGTCTCGAGTCGCTGGTTTTCCTGCGGCGTCGCCGTGTCCATGGGGGAAGCTGGAAAACCTGTCCTTTTCGCATGTTTGCAAGCAGGTTGTCATGTCGTTTTGCGTGGCAGGCGTGGCACTTTGTGACATTCCAACTTGTTTGATAACGTGTGGAATATCAAAATTGGAGGAGGTCTCGCACGAAATGCTTGTTTTTCTGCATCCACGTGTCTCGTCTCGAGTCGCTGGTTTTCCTGTGGCGTCGCCGAGTCTATGGGGGAAGCTGGAAAACATATCCTTGTCGAAGGTTTCCAAGCAGGTTGTCATGTCGTTTTGCGTGGCAGGCGTGGCACTTTCCTCACTCCACACTCCACACTTTACACACTCCACACTCTACACACTCCACACTCTACACACCACACTCTACACTTTCCACTCCAGACTCCACACTCTACACTTTACGCTCCACACTCCACACTCCACACTTTACACTCCTCACTCCACACTTTACACTCCACACTTTACACTCCTCACTCCACACCCCACACTTTACACTCCTCACTCCACACTTTACACTCCACACTTCACACTCCACACTTTCCACTCAACACTCCACACTCCACACTTTACACTCCTCACTCCACACTTTACACTCCACACTTTACACACTCCACACTTTACACTCCACACTCCACACTCTACACACCACACTCTACACTTTCCACTCCAGACTCCACACTCTACACTTTACGCTCCACACTCCACACTCCACACTTTACACTCCACACTTTACACTCCACACTCCACACTCCACACTTTCCACACTCCACACTTTACACTCCTCACTCCACACTCCACACTTTACACTCCTCACTCCACACTTTACACTCCACACTTCACACTCCACACTTTCCACTCAACACTCCACGCTCCACACTTTACACTCCACACTCCAAACTTTACACTCCTCACTTTACACTCCACACTTTACACTCCACACTCTAGACTTTACACTCCACACTTTACACTCCACACTCCACACTCTACACTTTACTCTTTACACTATACACTCTACACTCCACACTTTACACTTTACACTCCACGATTTCCATTTACACTCCTCACTTCACACTTTACACTCCACACTTTACACTCCACACTTTACACTCCACACTCCACACTCTACACTTTACACTCCACACTCCACACTCTACACTCCACACTCCACACTCTACACACCACACTCTACACTTTCCACTCCTCACTCCACACTTTACACTCCTCACTTTACATTCCACTCTCCTCACACCACACTTTACACTCCTCACTTTACACTCCACACTCCACACTTTGCACTTTACACTCCTCACTCCACACTCTAGACTCCACACTCCACACCCCACACTCTACACTCCACACTTTACACTCCACACTCCACGCTTTGCACTTTACGCTCCTCACTCCACACTCTACACTCTACACTCGACACTCCACACTCTACACTCCACACTCTACACTTTACACTCCATACTCCGCACTCTACGCTTTACACTCCGCATTCTACACTTTACACAATCTACACTCCCTACTCCACACTCCTTACTTTACACTCCACACTCCACACTCTACACTTTCCACTCCACACTGCAGACTGGTAACAAGGGAAACACGTACAAGACTGTTCAAATAAACTATTGCAGAAAGGTATTGTGCGTCACTGCATAACCATGTGTTTTGACATCTGTACCATTAACATACGTGTGAGCATTCGGGTTCGTGGGCTTCCATCTTGTTTCCTCACGTCCTATTTTTCCATATTTTTCCCTAGGGTCCTAGAGCCACACAGAAATAGATGATATTCCTAGATATAGACGATGCAATTCACAAAATCCTCATACCAACATGGCGGATTTCGACCAAGTGCAACATCACCGATATCAGAGCCCTAAGATTTCCTCATATTTCGACATTAGTGGTATCAATATTGTATATCGTACCACTATTAATCATTGGTTAACCATTGTATACAAAAGTATGGAATATTAATGTGGTACCGATATTTAGATCCACATATGGCAGTGTGTCAAAACCTTGTACCCCTGTAGTTCACATCAAAATAGCTTGGATTTATGGATGTTCATCCCACTAAAAATGGTATTAATAGGTATTGATCCATAGCCATATTTCCATTGTATATTGGTTAACCATGGTCAACCCCACAAAGGACAGGTTGCTGTTTCTATATGACGATATCTCGAGGGATCCCTTCAGGAGGACTACATCCATCTACTGTACTGGTGCAAGTTATTTGGCTACGGCCACAGATATACTCCGAGGGTTGCCGGAGAAGCTTGCATAAAACCCCTCTGGTAAACATACAAAAAGCTATTGAAAATGGCAATTTATAGTGAGTTTTCCCATTAAAAACGGTGATTTTCCATAGTTATGTTAGTTTACCAGAGGGTACCACTTATTTGAGGCTCCGGTTTTGGGGCCTTGGGCCCACCTAGGCTTTGAGAATAAGCACCCCCAATGCCTTAATGAAAGACTCACCAAGACATGAGGTGGCAATGGCTTGGATGTCGAAACTACTAAGCATATCGCGAAAAACTACTAAAGCACGAGTTGCGAGTTGCGAATCACAATGGCTTGGACGCAAAACTACTAAGGAGTTCATGAAAAACTACTAAGGCGTGAGTTGCAAATCACAATGGCTCGGATGCAAAACTACTAAGAATGTCCCTCAAAATTGAAGAAAAGAAGAAGATACTATTTCTTTTATTCTTTAAATCGTCCTTAGTAGCTTGTGAACGCATTCTTAGTAGCTTCGCGGCCAAGCCAATACGAAATGCGACACCGTGCTTAGTAGCTTTTGAGCACATTCTTAGTAGTTTTGGGGCCAAGCCAACAGGAATTGCTAATTTAATTTAACGGTGCTTCCGCGTGATAAATGTAGATATGCGCACGCAAACATGGCCCCGCTCCCCAGAAATCAACGTTGCCACTCACAAAAGCCAGTCTTGCTGCCTTTCCTGGTATAGCTGCTTTGCAGAGTGTGGAAGTAAGTCAACTTTGATGTCTGGGGGTGCCGGGGGTTGCGCCCAGGGTCCTGTACACTGCCGCTGGCTGTACACATGTCTTTGCATTGCTTGTGGCAGTCAAAGTTCAACCTCGCATGCTTGCTGCAGAACAGCACGGGCATCCCTGCACCTTTTGAAACGTTCCTTTGGCTTGCGCTGTGAGGTGGGCCGATTTTTGGGGCTGTGGGCCTGCATGCTTTTTGCCTTCCTTCACTGCATACCCGGCATGTGAAACCAGCATCCTGGTACCAAGCGCAAGAAAGCATGAATGAAAGATGCAACCTGTCGTAGCTCAACGCGCTCTTTGCAGAAGGCAAAACGCATATACCATGGGCCCTGGGTCCACAAATTTGGAAGCATACTGTAGCCATTTCCCCCAAAATTGGTTGGTTCTTTGCCTTGTTCTGCAGCCAAATCACCATTCTCAGGGTGGAAAAATGATGAAACACATGATTTGCCAAATCACCATGATTATTGGATCAAAAATTGATGTTAGGCACCATGTTTTGATGCAGAAGCCGCTTCACATGTCTTTTTGGCTTCAAGGACGCTGGCTGCGGAAATGTTTGAAGGGCTTCAGCCCAATGTTTTCAGCTGCACAGCTGCCTTGAAAGCCTGCACTGCTTGGAGAGAGGCGGAACGCTGGTGGAAGGGCTGGAAGCCGTGATCGCCACGGTAGTTCCGGTAGTTATATATATGATGTTATAGACCCACTTGTACAGCGGGATATCCCTTGGCATGGTTGAAGGGATTTTCTAATCAGGGCTATATAATGAACATTACTGAACCATTGCTGTTTGGAATGCGCATTGAAACTATATCAAGACTTTTTGATGTTCACAGCATGCGAAGAGACCAAGGGAGCCTTGAATCAGATGGAGAAAAATATAGTGCGCAGACATATATAACACAAGACAGTGCCAAATAGTGGGCCCTCTATACCCAGTGGATTCCTTAAAACAACTGATCATCTTTGCTTCTTCAGTGATCGAAATTTTGAGACACATCAACGTGGGATTTACGCGTCAATTCACGAGCCAAAAACGCCAAGTCTCCAAGTCTGCCAGGGCAAACCCGGCGGAACGAGCGTCATTGAAGTTTGGGTCAAACTTGAATCTGAAGTACCACCCTCAAAATGGATGCTTTGATGACCCACTCTTGTCTCATCTACAACTTAGATCAACTTAGTCAGTTTGTAGATGATTTTCTTCTCAAACTGGACCATTTTCCAGCCATATTACCCTCCAGTAATCAAACATGGTTTGCTGAAAAATCCAACATTTTTGGATGATTCATTGTTTCATCAGAACCTCCATTGAGTTCGGGGGTTTCCCAGCCAGGAATGTTTGATGACACCGAATGGTACTGTAGATTTCCGGGTGGCCCCATGTTTGATGCTAAATCCCATCGTAAATCTCCCTGTATATCCAATCATACTCCCATTAAATCCCATTAAGCCAGTAGTTTTCGCGGGTAAATCTCACCATTTTGGATCAGATTTGTCACCTCTTGCACTCCGCGACGGCCATCGCGAGGTCTTTGCACTCTATCCCCTGCTGGCAGCGACGAAGCCGAGCCGGTTGGATGAACTGGTGGCGTTCCACAACATGGCAGACAGCTGTGCATCTGAGCTGACACGCTTTGGGCGGCTTGTGCAGGTGGCGGTTTCTTAAGCCTCTCCGGTAATGACTAACAGTTTGCGAACTGGAAAATGGCCCATAGAAATAGTTGATTTAGTTATTAAAGATGGTGATTTTCCATAGTGATATCAGTTCACCAGAGGGTGTCCCAAATTCATCCTTAAATTCCCAGTGGTTTTTCAAAAAGAGGCTTCCCCTCATGAAAGTCAACGGGGTAGAATCCAGTAGATCATTTTTTAACCGTCCACATCGGCCCCATAACATCCTTCCTATTTTAGGACGATTTTGTCTTAAGCACTTTTGTTTCCAGTGATTCCAGTGAATCGCCTGGCATGATGATTCGTGATATACCATCTGGTTATGACTAACAGTTTGCCATGGAAAGTTCCACCATTTTTAAGAACGGTAAACCATCTATTTCTATTGGGCCATCTATACCATGGCTATGTTAGTCATAACCAGAGGGCCAGAGGGTATATGTATATAATTATGGTGATTGTTTCACAACCAGGTCAGTTGCGGCCGTTCCATGCGCTGATTGAACATGATTGAAAGTTCTTCCTGTCATGGAGGTATATTGAGATATTCCATATCGATTATAGAAGGCATTCAGTATACTAACCGATTTTTTCACTGGGAAGAAATCACTGGGATAATATACTAGATATTATATACAATCACTGGGAAACAAATCAGTGACTTCCACTCCTCGAAAGTTGCATGGCCATGCCGTCCCAAAAATGAGAGTTGGCAAAATCGTACTCAAATAGTGCCCATTGACTTTTCTACCTTTTTTGGGGCTTACTATACTGATATTGGTGGTTTAAGGAACCATGGAATTTTATGACTTTCCATCTGAATTGGGAATTTCAGAAAATCCCGACTTTCACTCCATGATTTTTCAGCGGTTGGTACACCACCAAGCAGTTATTGGGAATCAAATGGTATCCCAGACTGGATCCACCAATTCTGGTCCTTGTTCAGAATCGAGTCGCTCCGGTCGAACGTATTGGATGTCTTCATGGATTTTTCGGGGGGCCCGTATCGAAGGGGAATTTCATCTTGGGGATTGTTGGATGAAAATTCAATACGCGATCCAAAATATGGTGAATCTCTAACTTGTTTGGTGATTTTTGTATTCAATGGGTATTTATCTATACCATATATAATATTGGTTGAAAGGCATGTGTGGTTCACAAAAATCACCATGACCGTCATAAAATGCAGCATGCAGCCAAATCTATGGGACTTCTGCCGGGATGTCCAAGTGACTGGATAATATTAATTTTGTAGCGTGGGAAATATAGATATATATGTATATATATATATATGTGGACATATATCATTTAATAAACGATGTATGTTTATACATACGGATCATGTTACAATATATATATACATATAAAACCGGGTGGACGTCGAGGTTTGTGCGTTTATGACCCAGGAAGGCAACCGCTCAAGTTTATACTAAGTGGTTTATTGGTGACTGTACATAAGTATACATAAGTGATATAAGTTTAACTATCATAAATTCATATCAAGCAATCACCGGGATACCAATTTTTCAACCAGTTTTTGATGCAACGGTGGTTCGGTAGCTATTGAATTCCCGTGTCCCGAGGAGAAAAGCGAGGAGGTGACTCCGGGCATCTGGTCTCGCGTCCTGCAGCTGTTGGATCGCGACCTGCGAGCCGCTTGAGCGATGTGGGGGGCCAGGGACGACACTTCAATTCAGCAAATTGATTCTATGGGCCTATGGGACCTGAAGCGATCGTAGCGATCGCGGTTACTTTCAGGATTTGTTTTCTTCATTTTTACTTTCATTGGGGATAATCCCGATCCTCGTTCTGCAGCCATGACCAGACTTGGTGGCCCTGGTGGCCCTAGTCCCCAGACCAGGAAAATGCCTTGCAAGCAGATCACATTTCTTCGCATCATCTGACGGCAGCTGCTGCCTCAGGCTGGCTGTTGATCAGATGTTTGGCGGTGCCTTATCCAATTTCCATTTCATGGAGGGTTTCCCGTCGCCAAAAAAAACAAGTTGGGTAGAGTTTAGCTTTCGCCATTTTTCAGCCATGTTTTTTTCCACATAAAATAACTTACCCAAAACGTCATCAGCCACGTGGTTTTCTGGAATTTCCACCATTTAGTTCAGTGATTTTCTGAGCTATAAACCTCCGTTTTGATGGGGATTTCCCATGGTCACGTTTGATCACCGGAGGGTAACTATATGTATATATAAATATACGTATATTATGAACTACATATGAGTATATAATATGATACATTTATACATACACACAGGCGCGCGCACACACATGGTATTTCCTACATATAGTTAGTTGAACTTGGATTCCCCTCCCTCCCATTCCTTTCACCTTGTGCACCAGGCGGGGGTTGGCGCTTGGCGGTGCACATGGCCCTGGAGCAAATGAAGGATCACTTGGACGTGGACGGCCAGGGGATTGTAGCTTCAAAGGTCTGATGGGTCGTCGAAAATGGGACCAGATGGTCACATTTTTCGTTGTCACAATTAGCCTCTGGTTCTTTAGCCATGGTATAGATGGCCCATTCATTGGAATAGATGGTTTACCGTTCTTAAAAATAGTGAATCTATCCATGGCAAACTGCGAATGTCATAACCAGATGGTAATCATTTCGTTGGTCTGCCAAAGCCCCCTTCCCTATTCTTTCTGAAGTGACGGATGGAGATCCAAGAGGAACGAGAAAGGAAAGTCATTCGGAAAGTTTTGGCAAATTTGGCAAATTTTGGGATTCCAATAACTATGGTTTATGGTACGCAAATAACTATAGTTAATGGGGTTTATAAACCAACTTACAACTGGGGGGCCCCACATTGTACTGATTTCTAATTACCCACCATGTGGCTGACAGCTTTAAGTGAGATACAGGAATCTGTGTGAATTTAGGTGCCATGCGACAAGGCCTGTTTGGTGAAATATTCTAGCAACAGTTCCGCACGTCATGACTGGGTCATCCAGTATTCACGAAATAACAACAATGTATTGAAAACTTCTGCGGCTTGCTGGTTTCAATCTTTCTTTTGCGGTCTCTTGTGGACAGATCTCATTCCCTGTGAGGATGAAATGACTTGAGATTGGACACCACTGATGTGGGATGTGGCTATCAAAATCATCAAAATCGGGTATCCTCTGAGGACCTCCTTTGAGGATAGATTCGATAGATGGGTATGGGTCAAAACCTACTAATCATGTGGTATAAGGGATGACCATCAACCTTGAGGTTCACTGGGGGTACAGGGTTTTGACCCACATCCAGATGACGAAAACTACCAACGAACACCATCCATGTGGCAATCGCCCGCAGGTGGCCACTGGAAATTGGCAACTGGCCTTGTCCTTGGCGCCAGATGCATCTCGGCATATCTCGGCGGATTTTTTTTCGCCGGAGGGATGGGAGGATTGGAGCCATGAATCTTGGGAGTTCTTCTATGAAAGATGATGATTTAATCATATTTAATCAGTGAACATGGGGATTTAGCTATATATTTAGATATATTTAGCTATGATTCAATTGAGATTGGAGTAGTGAATCGCCAGATGTGTGCTGAGAAACCAAGCAAATTGCGGTGATCTATGATCAAACTTGTGGATTTGCTGTACCCAATCAATCATGGATATGGTATGATATGGTTATGTAATGTATGCTTATGTTCAACAATATCGTTGTGTAACCCCCAAGCTATGGCAATTTAGAGAAAAATGATATGAGAGAGACATAAATTTTGGCGGTACCTCCATTAGATGGACAAATTTTGGTCTGCTTTGGCGGTCAGGTCCCATTGTTTGTGTGTCACAGCATTACTTTTTGCATATTTCAATATCCCACAATTCTCGGTCACGTATAAATATTATATATTATATATTATATATTATATATTACATATATTATGATATATTATATATGATATATTAAATATGATATATTAGATATTATATATTATATATTATATATCATATCATTTATATTATATAAATATAAATATAAATATATAAATATATATATATATTATGATATATTATATATGATATATTAGATATTATATATTATATATCATATCATAATATATATATATATTATGATATATTATATATGATATATTAAATATGATATATTATATATGATGTATTATATATGATGTATTATTTTTGATTTATTATATTTGATATATTATATATGACATTTGATATATTTTATATGACAAATGATATATTATATATGATATATAATACATGATGTATTATATATGATATATATATATGATATATTACATATGATATATTATATATGACATATGATATACTTTATATGACATATGATATATTATATATGGTATATTGATATATTATATATGACCTATGATATATTATATATATTATATATGTCATGATATATTATATTTGATATATTATATATGATATATTATATATGATATATTTTATATGATATATTATATATTGTATATGATATATTATATATTATATATTGTATTGTATTATATATACCATGGATCGCTTAAAGAAACGCAAATCAGTTGATTCAAGAGATGAAATCTGGTGCGTGTGTGTGATCTCCCATGGGATAGCTGTGGACCGAAAAAACACTGCTGAGGGCCATTTCAAGGATCTATGCACCGCCTTGGATGCTGGGCATTGATGCGAATTGAACAATGGTTTGCTTGGTGATTTCGTTCATTTTGTTTTTGAATTTCAATTCCAATAAACATAATTAACGGGATGATGATCTCAATATTGATTTTCATGTTTGTCAGGCTTTGAAACCACCAGCCAGGTGTTCTTGCCGTGGTGTGGCGGCGGTGGGGGTGCCTCACAAGGCGACTCCCAAATCCAAGATGGAGTAGGCTAGCTATGTCCTGATGTCAATATGGACCAGTGTTGAGGACATATTGGTTTCTATTGATAAGAATCCAAACACATTTGCATGTAGATAGTTCAAACCACAGATAGATCCTTGTGGAACAAGGTAAAATCTGTCCAAACTTGGGTTTCCATGTGTTTTATAATCTCATCCTCCTATCGTGTACCCCTTGGACACCCTGGTTTAGTCTTGGATCTGAGGACCAAATATCGCATTGGCCGCTGGCACTACAACTCCTCATGGATCAGACGGAACAAAGGACGTGACGGCAATGTGCGCTGAGGTGCTGGAAAATTCAAGTGTAAATGGTGGATTTTCCTGGTGGATTTTCCAGCAGGTCATATTTGATTACCAAAGGGTAGCGGAAATTATGTCGGGAGCAGTTGTGGTACTGACATCATAATTTATGCATAAAAATCAGACCGAAATGGTGGAATGATAAAGGCATGCGACTGTCCCCATCAAGGCTCACCAGGGATCCGTAGAGGCCTTTTCTTGGATGTATTGGGACTGGTTTTTTCCTTACCGCTCTGCCCGAAGTCAAGCCTTGACCAGGGATCCGAAAGGCCAAATCGTCCATCAAAGTTCATCATATCAAATCGATGATCTCTGGCGATGACGAATGAGCTAGGTCTGCTTCAAATGGCTTCGCATTCAACGGACGATCTTCGAACAGATCCACAGCAAAATCATGAGGAGAAATAGAAATCTATATATTTTGCGTGTTTTCCCATTTTTTCCATGTTTTTTTCCCATTTTTCACCTGTTTCAAGAAGCTTGAATCCTTTGAGGCCTGAGGGGTCACTTCGCCCCTGATTGGACAGTTCCATCGCCCCTCGGGCAACTTGTGCACTGGACGATGAAGATCTGAATCGGCCGATTTTCATCAAGTTGAGTGGTTCATGCAGGCTTCATTTTTCATATATATATATATATATACACCATCTGGTTATTTAACATAGCCATGGAAAATCACCATTTTTAATAGGTAAACCATCAATAAATGGACCATTTTCCATGGCTATGTTAAATAACCAGAGGGTATATATATATAGAGATACCCTCTGGTTATTTAACACAGCTATGGAGAATCACCATTTTTGATAGGGCCATGTTCGCTATGTTAAAAAAAAATGGAGGGTTTTTTGGGATTTCCATCCCAACTTCGCCATGATTTTCTCCCATTTCTCTACAGGAGCCTGCCGTTGGACAGGGCGTATGACCTGGCCGTGAGTTTTTATCTGCCGCTGAGCCTGTTTCAGGGTAGCCCAAAATGACCATCCCTTGCCCAAAATGATGGAAAATGACCCATGAATATGGAGGATGACTGGCCCATGACCAGGAACCCCTTGTCATATTTTGTCATCCATTTTGTAGCCCCCCATCTTTCCAAGTCAATTCTAGTCAAATGATGTGAAATCCCCCATTTTTTGATGGTCACCTATGGCAATTTGACACAGAAGCTCTATAGATGGCCCGTTGATGGCCCGCTGATGTAAACCGACTGGTACATGGAGCCCATTGATGCCAAGTTCCTTATGAGGATGAACTTCTGGTGTCGTGTTTGACGATCGTCAAACACGGCTTGCTGATGATGATCCCACCATTTACAGTTGATGGCTTCCCAAATAGAATTATTCCATTCATAGGTTTTTTTGTTTGCCATCTTTGATGGCCAGAGGGTAATTCTGATCCAATATGGGAACCCCTAAACTCCCGTAGAAACGGACGCCTGAGGGTGAACCTGGTTCAGGCAGCCAAGTTGGTTCAGTGCTGCACAAGAGCTGGAGTAAATGTAGCCTGTAGCCTTTTCTATGGATCCCCAGGATCGAATGTTTCAAGACACCCATGCTCATCTGGTTGGTGGTTTGCAACATTTTTTATTTTCCCCAATAGTTGGGATGATGATCCAATCTGACTTTCATATTTTTCAGAGGGGCTAAAACCACCAACCAGTCATGGAAGGTTTTGAAAGAGTTTTTTCCACACACAGCTCAGGGATTCCCTTCTCCGACTCGGTTTTTGCCTCAAACGCGGGGACCAATATCAATGACTTTTTGGGATGCGAGAATGTAGAGATGGCGGAACATTTCCATCGAAGAAGCAAGAAGGATAACTTGTCCACAACATAGATTTGTCTCACAGTGGGACCCCTTTTTTATGGCTGTTTCAATGATGACAATCATGATAATTCATGAAATCTTGAGCTTCCATTTTATAGAAAGCTCATATAGTATCATATGATACAAGGCAGTTGGCCGTTTGTGACCATGGTGCGGGCAAACAAGACGCCTTGAATGAAAGACAGGGCGAAAAACATCAGGAAAGAACCTCCAAGTGGTTTGGATATTGATTCTGAAATAGAATGGAATCTAATATGATTTGAATTTGATTTTCCATCAATTATCTATATCTATAGTAGTATATAACCAATTGTATCCAATTATATCATCTTAGATCAGATCTAAAATTACGGTCGATGGACTCTTGAGTTCAACCATGTTCAACCCAAGGCTTGATCATTTTCTCCACATGTCATAACATGTCCAAGGCTTGGGGTATGTTTTTTTTTTTTCCCCGGACAAATCCATATCATATTTCTGGATTACGAAGTATGTCTATATAGTTATTACATATATGTATGCAGGTGGCGGGAAGCATATGTATATACACAATATATTCCATGATATGTCGTTATGTCCCCATTGTATCTACGAATATTCTACATCATCCCAGTATTTGTGACTATATTCTCATAGCTGTGACAGACTCCCCCCTTCCCAGTGTCCCCCCCCCAGTATGGCAGACGATTACTAGGCCTTATCAAAGCTTATTAGGTACTATAAAGGAATTGTACTCCCAGTGTTGATATATGTTTTTATGCAGTTAAATCTATAATTACTGAATCCCTATTTTAAGATGCTCAACCGCCACGATATCTCATCGAAAAGGTCAAGAGCTTAGCTTGCCACAGGCGGTTGACTCTGTCACTGGGCCTGGCTCGTTTATGGCTGGGATCGAAGGGATGCTCCTTTAAAGCTGGCTGGGGTTTGTCTAAGTTTGGGTGTGTCTGAAAATGGGGGATCCCCAAAACTAGAACAGAGGAAACATGGGCTATGCTTCTCAATTTGGAACCCCAAGTTTTGGACCACCTGATCAAGTAGGCAAAGTATTGTGTATGGTCTTGCTCGACCAAGTTAGGCAAAGCTGGGATAGATGCCAAAAAAATGTCTGTATATCAAGGACAATATCATTCTGTCATCCCTACTCAGTTTCTGCAAAACGCATCCAGAACTGGACGCTGAGACTAGCTTCGCCATCCAACTGAGGTGATGGCCAATTTGGTCGCCCAAGATGTAGCCCTGGGACGCAAGTGGCGCTTTCCACGATGATCCAAGCGGCCCATATCAGTTGCAGTTCAAGGGAAACCAGTTACATTTCAGTGAAGATTTCATGGGCCAAGCATCGTTTGGTGATTCTGATTCAAAATGATCCCAGAAAGTTCCAGCATGAATTTATAAACACCATTGATACAGACACAGTTCGTCGCTTGCTTCACGTTGGATTTCAGAAAATGTTTCCAAACTCCATTGTCCAGCTCAAGTCACATGGCTGAGTGATGTCAAACTGTTAGTTTACCAGAGGGTAACCAGCATCCACAATAGCGTACTTGACACGGTAGGGATACGTTTTCATGGCTGAGTATGGCTGAGTGATGTTTCCAATTTTCGTTTCAAAAACATCCCAGAGCTGGTGGGCAGAGATGTCCAGCTGCTGTTTTTATCGTTTTCCCGTCCGGGGTTCAGCGTGTTGGTGCCGAATGACGAATCGGTCTTGGTTCTTTGTTGTGGGGTCCAAACGGGGGCAGTCTTTCAGAAGTGGTTGAACATGTTGAACCATGTTGAACCTATCTACTGCAAAACAATTCAGCCAAACATGTAGTCGATGTCCATTGAAGTACCTGAAGTTGGCCGATTTGTGGCCTCGTTTAGACACACACACACACACACGCATTTAATCCCTGTTCAAACTATCAGCGATCGACACATCCAATATGGGCTGAGACTGAGATGTGAGGGGATGTGATCCACACAGCCATCGTTCCACTGCAGCGCGCAGCGGAAAAGAGAGCAGATTTTTTTGGTGGGACAAAGGGGGAATGGATATGGATCCATGGGGTTGTGGTTTGCGGGGTACCAACATTTCTCTGGCCCAAAATGGCAGCGAAGATTGAAATAACATTCAACCACTACTATTCGCTGTTCATGTTTGGTATGTTCACCAGTTGGGGGGTTGAGGTTGTCAGCAATTTGACAGGCACGGCGGGCCCCAAGTCCATAGCAAATGACTTCAACTGCAGTTGTGGGTCAAGAGTTCTTTAGGCTCCAAGAACTGTTGAAGTAGTGGTCAGTTTAAGGATGTACCCTGGGGCAAACTAACATAGATGTGGAAAACCCAAGGTTTCCCTAGCAAAATGGATGATATAATCCCAATTCCGTTGTGTCATATATTGTGATGCTTCATTGTGTCAAAAATGTTGGATTTCCATATTATATATACAAATAGCAACACTATTAAATCAATATACATTAAATCAACATAACACACATATACAATAATATAATAATATATATATATATACATACATATTATTATTGTTATCATGATTATTATTATTATGCATAATTATTAAGTATAAAAACAAATAATATTCCATAGTGATACTTCCATATTTATTTACGTATAGTAATACGTCAATAGGATTCCATAGTTATAATTATACATACACACACATATGTATGTATATATATATACATAATCTTATATATACATCTAATATACATCTAATATACATCTAATATACATATGTATACATATATATATATATATTTGTATATATGAATGTATATATCAACCCAATTCCAGTGTCTTCCAGTCGCTGGCACTGAAAAAAGGAGCTTCCCCCGGTGGATTTCCAACACTTCGAAGCCGCCTTCGCACGTTTCCGCGGTGCGCGCGAGGTGCCGAACCGAAGATTTCGGGGAGAACTGGAGAACGGGAAGCCCTTGAAACCTACGAAACATGGATTTGAAGTCAGGAACATGGGGATTTCATGGGGATTTCAAGGATAAAACGTTGAGAAATTGATGAAACTTGGAGATTTGATGATCTTTTGACTGTAAGACGTGGAGGAGATTAGATGAAACTTAATAGTAGGGATTTTTTTAAATATATTTTAACTATAAAACATAGAGTACATTGGTGAAACCACATTCGTGAAGCAGCGAACAAGCGGATCATATTGTTTTAAGATAAAGTTAAAGTGGGACATTGACATTGATTAAAATTAGGTAATTACAAATGAAATGGGATAACAATAGAGAACCAACGATATCCAACGATATGATATAGATACGCAGAATAATTGGGTGGATTCTAACTATGGTAAGGGGAACATTGGGGTGTATATATTACATGTGTCAATTATAAAGATAAGATAGACATCATTTGCATGGTTTATTATCACACACACACACTAGGTTTTTGGGTTTGTATAAAAACATCATGGGGAAAACGAGACTTACCCAACCAGTTTTTTTCAGGCACCTCAGCACTTCAGACAAAGCCATAAAAATTTTGACTGAAGCCAAAGGGGATGATTGGCTTCACAGGCTGACCGGTTTAAATAATTTATGATGTTTTTGTTGGGTTCAGGAAACCAGGAAATCCAACCATTTTTTTATATGAAATCTATTGAAATCTATGTTTATCTTCAAATATCCAACCGTTATTTCGAATGGTGACCTCATGTAACACCTGGATTTCCCAACTTTTCGCAACTGGGATAACTGGGAATGCCGTCCCTTGCGCTGTTTTAGACGCCGTGCTTACGGACCCCAGTGGTTTCCATGGCCTCGCTGGAGGCCTTGGGGAACCACGTGAGAAGCTGCGAAAGTCTCCATGAGAACATCGAGAGGCGCGGAGTCGCTGATGGAAACTCACCATGAAACGTTTGTCGAATGATGGGCTGATTGGGTTGGTGCGTTTTACGTAGGGAATGGATGGGTTGCTGGGGGTTGCTGGGATGATTATTGATAGTTGGCCAGTGGATCATTCCCGAAAATTCCCTGCAAAGCACCAGTAAGTGGGTCAGTTGGGGCATATATTTGACTGACATTGACTGACGATATATATATATATGATGCATCGGTGACTTTACATCAGAGATTTATTGGAGTTCCCTAGGTTTGATTCTACATCTGGTGCTTGATTGCTCTGCCAGCAGGCAGTTGAGAGATCTACAAACAGCAAGACCCAAAGTGGAGCCGCACGTTTACAAGGACATCGACATGCATCGACCATCTGTACTGATGCCTTGTGGCTCAACCACCATCCAGTCTGTGGTGGTGAACATGTCCAGTTTCTTGGTCTGTTGTTTTCAAGGTATTCCCATGATATTCCTATAATATTCCCATGATATTCCCATGATATTCCCATGATATTCCAATGATATTCCCATGATATTCCTATTATATTATTATCATTATTATTATTATCATTATTATTATTAAGTATCATTATTATTATTATTTGCCCACAATTTTCTCATGATATTCCTATAATATTCCCATGGTATTCCTATGATATTCCCATGATATTCCAATGAATATTCCCATGATATTCCCATGATATTATCATGATATTGCAATGACATTCCCATGATATTCCTGTGATATTCTTATGATATTCCCACGATATTCCCATGATATTCTATGATATTCCCATGATATTCCTATGATATTCCTATACTATTCCCTTCCCCAATTCTGTTGGTTAAGATCCCAGTTTCTGGCTCAGCGAGATAACTTTTTGCTGCAGAAATCGATGGTTTTGGTGGAGAAATCCACATAGATATTTATCATATTCATCAGTAAGAGAGTCCCCACATTTGTATATGCATTTTCCGGTCTGTTTTTCATGAGGAAAGAAAAACCCCGCAGTCAGGTGACCCCTGAAATTCTTATCATCTCACCTTCACATCTTTCATTGCCCATTTAGACCTCCATTTCCCCATGGAATCCGTTTTCAGATCGGTTTCCATTTCTTCTTGGATTTGCTGACGATTTTTGACATTTTTCGAGCGATTTTTTGGGGACCAAAAAATGGGTGGCACCGCCGCCAGGAGAAGCTTCTTGCGGCGGAGTCCCTCTACGCCGAGGCTCCGAATTGATATCCTGGGATCTCCTGGTGCATTTGCCGCGGAAATGAGGGTTTATGACGGTGGTTCTTTATTGGGGGTCAAGATGGGTCAAGTATTGATCATCCAATTTGACCTAAGCCTATATCATCCTATATATATATATATATCTATCTATATCTTAAGATATATATGGTCAAAAGTCAGATCTTTTTTCTATGACATGTTGAATCCGTCCTTTCCCATCGTTCAAAGCGGATGTTTGTTTCCCAGGTGAAGGTGCAGCGGGAGCAGTTCGCCGCGGCTGATGCGGAAGCCAAGGAGAAGACGAAGAAAGCCGAGGTTCGTTGCAGAATTCATCGGATTTCATCGGATTTAATGGGATATGCATAGGATTTGAATGGATTTATGGGATCGGGATTTAATGGAATTTAATGGTATTTATTGGCGATTTCGTGGGATTTTACGGGCTTTTCTAATAGGACCTCAACAAACAAATCAACCATGAGTGTGGGGTTGGAAGATTAGCTTCCACTCAAAATTGGTGATTTTCAGGGTCGATGCTCATTTGGGGGATCATAAGTGGGTTAATCATGTCATATCCCATTATAACCCCAGTTCGAAAGAATTTAGCCTAGTTATAACGGGGGTGAACTAAGCCACTTACGAATCCTGGGGTGAACGACCAGTCGTGGGACAGGTATCTTTGCAGGGACGGTCAACGCCGGAGATTAACAGAAGCCCCTGGGCAGCTCAAGATGATATCTTATCTTTCTACCTAATATATTACTAGCTGATGTTGAGTTCTGGGGACCCGTTGGTAGATGTTGGTAGCACATAAACATCACTATTTGGGAGGTTACCCATGAATTTATTGAGATGGAATTCTTGGACTCCTGGACAGGGAAAAATCAATGGCCATTTCAGGATCCGATTCATTGGAGGTACCTACCATATATAAGGCCTATATAAGGCCTATGTAAGGGAATATCCCCACAAAATGTGGCCTTATATGATCTTATATGGTACAGTACCTCCATTTTAGGATCCTGGAATTCCCATTGAAAAAAAGCTTTTAGCTGCAACAACAATCTGTGTTCTTGAGCAAACTGGGACCTTCATTTGCTGAAAATCCCATGGCTGTTGGGCAACTGGAACCCTAGGTTTCTTATTTCAAGCCACATAGGGAACCCAGCAATCCCATGAAGTTCTTAATGCAGTGAAGTTCTGAAAAACCATGGTTTCACATGGTGTCACTGTGCCCCAATTCATCCAAGATCGGATCAATTTATTCAAAGCCAATGGTTTTGGGGCCTAAAATGGGATCCACCATTTTAGGAAACCTCCATTTTTCATCATTTTTCTAGATAGTCTTCCCATTGGACCCGGGGCCAGGCCTCCACGTCCAAAATGAAGACCCTGAATGAAGAGCTCAGGAGGTGGGGGAAGCCTGCGGGATGGATATGATCCCGGTTGGTTACATAGCTACATAGAAAAACAAGAAGCACTCTACAGTACAGATATAAACAAATATGAACATATATGGATACATACATATATATATGTAATAATATATATATACTACTGTATATATGCATACGATATACACAAATATAGACATGATTTCGGCCTTTTTGATGTCTCTGAGTCTCCTTGAGGTACGACCAAGAGCTTCACGATCTGCGAACGCAACGGAGAGACAAGGAGAGCAAGGCGGCCACATTGAGGCCTCCGATTCATGGGATTTTTTCCATGCGGGAAGAAAATCCCCAAATGGTAGGTTTATGGCGTTGGGTTTCCCACATTACGAAAATTTGACCCATATATTCATAATTGGTGTTTTTCCTTATTCAATCAGAAGCGATTGTGTAGAAACATGGTTGTACACATGTATCTGCAATCATTTCGGGGGTTTGCCTGAAAAGGAATGAAGAACAACAATATCAATGTATCGAGTTTTGCCTTGTTCGGCTGTCAGCAAAGCCCTAGGTTTGTGGGTTAACTCACCATTCGCGTGGTGAAACTGGTGAATGCATCCCATCACACCAGCAGGTCCAAAGCCAATGTTCCTGGCCTGGAGGATCGGAAACGGCAGGCGCGGTTCAACCGGTGATCTCAAGGGAAGAACAAATGATGGGAGTTTTGGAGCAGGGAGGGCTCAGGAGGGTTCAGAAACTGTAGGATTTATTGGAATCAGACACGAAACTAGGATTTCTAGCTTGAAAATGCTTGAAAGTTTGAGATTTCATGGGCAGAAATGGGGCTGTTTTGGACCTCCAGTTGCGGGATGGAAAGAGATTTCTGGTGGATGCAGCCAAGCCGTTTCTTTGTCAAGAGTGGCGTTCACTAACTGGCGGCCTTTCCCTCTTGACCCTACGGAGCTCAAAATGGGCCCTGGCCATTTGGACTGTTTGGACCCCTGGGCTAGAATAAATCATGGGTCTCTCTGACACTAGGGTACCCCCCCAAAATTTGTTGTCATCGTTTTCCCTATTAAACTTGTAGTTTTGGGGTATTTTCCCAGAACCCCCCCTTTATTTCACCTGCCAAAAATGGGACTCCAAATCTCGACCTTCGTTCGCCCAGATCCAAAGCGATATCGATCGTAACTTGGAAGAAGCCCATAAGTTGCAGGCGGGGGCTTCACGGCGGATGAACTACCCCATGATGGGCAAGTTGAATAGGGAACAGCTACAGTAGTGATTCCCTAGTGGTTTGGACAATTATATACGAGATTTTCAAAGAAACCCCAATTTTGAGGCTCCAGGTAGTACTTTCCATAGAAGTCCGCTGAGCTAAGTTGCTTGAAGTTTGCACAGCTCAGGGCAAGATTTGGGGGAAAGAATGGCCAAACCCATCCCCAAAGTGCCAGTCCCTTGGACTTTGTTTGGTCAACTTCAGCTGCTAAAATGATGGTAACCGACTTAGCAACCCTTCCCTGGCAGTACTCCCCTTTGGGATGATGATTCCAGGTCCAAATATTTTTTTGAAGCCACCAAGTAGGTTGTTAAGTTGTTCAAAAAATGACCCTTCATTGAAACCACATTTGGTCAACTCATCAATACTAATAATATATAATAATCATCATTAATAATTAATAATCATTAATAACCATGATATAACCATTATATAATAACCATTGATAACCATCATTTATTCTGACCATGGTCTGTTTGGACTTGGGGCCCGAAACCTCTGGTCAACTCCCCAGGTGGTGGGCCGCCGTGTCCAGCAGGGAGAAGATGGATACCTCACGGAGCGGGATGCTGTGGCCGACTTCGCGCCATGGGAGAGATTCGAAATGAAATTGCAATCTGGACGGTATATTCATGTATAATTCTAGCAGCTACTATCACAATATATGCAGCTATCTGGCTATCTGGCTATCTAGTTATCTAGCTATCTAGCTATTTATTGACCAGTATCACTCTATCATTATCAATCTATCTACCGTTATCTTTTATTATCTATCTATCATGATCTTTCATTCTCTATCTTTATCTTCATCTTTATCTATCTACCTTGACGTATTCTTTAATATGATCTCCCATGGGACCATCCCCTGACGGCCCTGACGTGCCACCGAGCCTCAGGAGGGGCAGAGCCGTGAGCAGAAGATCTCGGAGATCAGTGCGAAGCTCAACGAGTTGAAGCGCCACCACCAGAGCCTGCTGCAAAAGCAGAAGGCGAGGCCAAAAAAAAGGGCAAAGAAATACCAGGGTGGCCACATGTTGTATGGGAACCGTGTCATGATGATGATGATGATGATGGTTATCAATGGTTATTATATAATGGTTATATATATATAGTGGTTATTAATTGCTATTAATGATTATTAATGATTATTGATGATTATTATTATTAATGATGATGATGATGATGATCACCATCACCAGCATCACCAGCACCAGCATCACCAATTTCTGGTAGACTTGTTGTTCCGGCAGAATCAGCGAAAAACGACCGCTTTTCCGTCATTGATCATCATGACTTAACCCCAAGTCGCAGACGAGACAGTTTGTCTCGCGATTCATTGTACTGTCGGACATGAAACAGTTCCAACAACATGGGTAAACATACATAATGACAATCATAATTACTATAGTTACTATAGTTGTACATTAAAATATCAATGTTTCCGGGCAGCCATGGCGTGTCAAGGTATTGTCATCAGTGCATTTTGTTCCAGGAATTCAACATCGACCCAATAGCCCTCGGTAACGAAGCCTCGCAGTCTGGGTGCCCAAAAACATGCAAGTTGGGATGCTACCCCCAAAGAGATTGGAGGTTTTTCGCCAACACCTGAAGGATTTTTTGGGTTAGCTTTGGAGATGTAGATCCAAACATTGGAGAGACATGGGTGTATGACATCAATTTATGCAACGCTGGAAGGGACTTTGTTTGAGAACATGATACCTGCAAACATTTGGTTGTTGCGCATAGACTCTGATTTTCCAAACTATTTTGCAAAGATTTTCCATGATATTCCATGATTTTAAGACACTTCCAGATGAGTTACAGTATAATATGTTATAAGCTATGTCATAGCTGATGTTCTACATCCCTTCATTTTTTTCCGGCTTTATATTTTGATATGTGCTGAGGTTGGAGACAGAGGCTTCAAGGTTAGATGAAACCATTGGGCAGTTAGAGGCGCCGGAGCTGGATCTCAAGAGGGAATGGAGCTGGATGAATAACGGAAGGTTTTGATGGACCTTTTTTGTAATGTTTCAGATGTGAAAACAATGGATTAATTTTAATATGGATTAATATATGGATTTTTATATGATATCTTTAAGATTAATGTGATATGTTGAAAAAAATCTTTGGGACTCATCTTCGGGATTCGGGGGATTCTCAGGTGATTGTGCTCAACTAACAATCACAGATTCGTTACGTTTTTGTGCCCGTGGCCGTTAGACCTTCTGAACCGTGCTCGGTAGTTCAAGCAAAGAGAAGCTGAACGTGCCCGCTTGGACGCCTCTAGCTACTCAGCCATGGAATAAAAGGTGGGAAACCCATCGATCCCAAAAAACGATGGAAAAAAACCATGGAAACCTTGGTTTATAGTATTTCTAAGGGAAAAAACCTTGGTAACATGGAAAAAAACCACTGTAATTTGTTGATATTTGTTTCAAGGTTGACTCTAAGTGTGTACATCATTTTACATCTGTGCGAAGGCAAGGCCAACTGTATCCCGAACCATACATTGAGATACATTACCGTAATACACTTTGTCATCCGAACTACTATTTTTCGACATTGCCCAATTTGAATCATATATATATATTTGAGCCATATTGAAATCCTGTTTACATCGTTTGTTTTACTTCTCAGAGGGTTTATACCAAGATTCACTCCTCTGTTCAAGCAATGTTTAATCTGTATAACCCGTGCTTCTAGGGAGGTTCGTGCCCAGACTTTTTCACGTGGGCGAAAGGTTGTTTGTACTTCCAAAGATTGCATAGTTTGATACTGAAGCGTACCAAAAGCTCTGGTGCCGTGGGTCTTTTGACTGGTTCAAGATGCTTTTCAGTAGATATGTCCACACATTTCTCGGAAATTATATTCTATGATTATGATCATCGTTATTACTATCAGTATGATTAGCAGCATGCGACTATTGTTACCATTAGTATTGATTGTGACTAGCATGACCAATACCAGCAACTAACAATAGCCATCATGAGACGAATCCAATGTTAACTTACCGTTATTTGCCAACTAATTCTTGACTTGATTACAATCATTGATTATTATCCAAGCGGATTATCGACCTGTTGTGATGAACTTTCCATGAAAATACTCACATATAGTCAGTAACAATCATGAACAAATCATGGATTTGCTGAAGATGTTCCATTTTCCCCTGTGGGACACTGCGGGACGGGAATCGAATCCGCTTGGGGAATGTGTTTTTTTCTGGGGCCCTGGGGGTGCCTTCAGCTCCAAGTTTGCTAGACTTGGGATGATTCTTGGACCGACTTAGCTATTGAATTAGCTTCATATCAACCACAGTTGTTCAGATGATAGTCAGAATAATCAATTCTAGTCAATAATCATAATAATCAACGATAATAATCAACGATGATAATCACGGTAATCAATGACAAGAATCCAACACTAACCAACAATCAATAATCATCATAATCACGACATTCAATAGCGATCAATGATCAATTACCAACATTCAATACTATTGTGGATGGTTGCGAGATCCTGCACCAATTGGTAGGAAACCATGTAAACTGAATTGGATTAAAAGGGAATGTTTACCACCTACCAACTTGTGCTGGATTTCTTTCCATCCGCAGAATGACCAAACAATAATAATCAATTCACAATCACAATAATCAATGATAATCACCAAACAATAGTCAATCAGCACAGTAACCAATAATAATCCAATACTAGTCGATAATAGGTTCATAGTCAACAATAATAAACATATTCAATAGCGATCAATGATCAATAACAATCATTTAATACTATTGTGGATGGTTGCGAAAGCCTTCACCAATTGGCAACTCTTGGTACTGTAATATAGGAAATATAGGAATGTTTACCATTATATATAGGTAATATAGCGATCAATAATTGACAACAATCATTAGTAATCATCACAATCATTACTAACCATAATAATAATAATCATAATAATAATCATCATAATAATAATCATAATACTACTAATCATCATAATCATAATCATAATAATCATAATAATCACAATAATAGTAATCATCATAATCATAACAATAATAATCATCATAGTCATAATAACAATAATCATCATAGTCATAATAATAATAATAACCATTATCATAATCATCAAAATAATAATCGTCATAATCATAATAATAATAAAATAATCATCATAATCATAATCATCATCATAATTACAACAATAACAATAATAATAATCATAATCATCATAAGCATAAACATCATAATCATACTCTGTAATATTGATCAATAATTAGTCAATAAAAACAATCCAAGTTACGACTACACATTCTGCACCGTTCCGAGGTGATGCCTCCCGGGAGTCGGAAGATGCACGCATCGCGCGGGTGCCTCCCGGGAGTCGAGGGAGTCCCGGAGGGGGGAAGTTCTACTCTCCGAAACGGTGGAGAGTTGCTGGTTGGATCGGGAATTGATGAAGATGTGATTCAAAGCATCAAAAATGGTGGTTTGATATGATGAAAACTGGTGGCTTAAGGCTATTTAACCATCAGATATGATTTGAACCATGACAAATGGTGGTTTAAGACTGTTTAAGCGACAAGATGTGGGTTAAAGGATGGAACATAAAGATAAACCAACTGGTGAAGGTAGTTTATGGTGTATATATATATTTATACATATACATAAAAGTACAATGGATAAAGATTTCGACGGTGGCTAGTAAGAACATCTCAGCTGTGTTTTTTGCCATGCTGATCTCCATGTTAATTGCCGGTAGATCTTGATCTTGGCAAAAGTGTTGAAGAAGAACGACCAACATCAATCTTTTTCACGATATGTGCCATGGTCAAAACATGGTGTATCGTTTATGGTCATCCACCCCATATTTGGAATCCTTATATATAATATGGCTATATAACTCCCTATGGAAATCTATTGATGGTTTCTTTTATTCCTGAAGGTTTCCCGCTTTCCTGTTTCGTCACCGTTTGGCCAGGACCACAGCTCGCACCTGGCTTCACGCTTGGCTTCGGCAGAGCGGGATGCCAAGGCAAGGAGGGTGGCCATATCCCGGTGATTGGTGAACTCCCTATGGACTTCTGACTTGGTGGTTGGTATCCCATTAAATATCTTGGTAAATATGAGATATTGATATTGGTGGAGTTATATCCACTATTTATTAGGTGTTTTTTTTTTTTTTTCGAATTTAACACTTGGTGAATATATGAAGTGGGGATGCAACACCAGATATTCGCCAGTGAGAAATGTGAGATTTACTGACAATGGCAGTGTACCAGCCATGGGTTGTACGTTTACCACAGGGTACCCTCTGGTAAACAAACGGTTTGCTATTGAACATGGCCATTTATAGTTTATAGTGGATTTTCCCATTAAACATGGTGGATCTTTCCATAGTTATGTTAGTTTACCAGAGGGTACATCCATTTTTTCCTTCCTTGCAAAGCCCGAACGTTTCTACGCGCGGGTTGCGGCGTTGCGGCGCAACGCGTAGGCTCAGCTCGCATCCCTGCAACCCATGATCCAGGCTTGGGGTTGGCACAGATGTGGAGGGAATTGGAATAAATGGTACATTATATACATAGACAGTATGATATAATTACTTACTATAGTTATGGGAGATTGTAATGATATAAATCTAATATTTATTGGGATATTGTAATATCACAATATATCACAATAAATATACAGTAATTACTTACTTGCTTGCTTGCTTACTTACTTACCTTACTTTACTTTACTTTACCTTACCTTACCTTACCTTACTTTACTTTACTTTACTTACATACGTACGTACGTACGTACGTACATACATACGTACAAGGAAGGTAGGTAGGTAGGTAGGTAGGAAGGTAGGTAGGTAGGTAGGTAGGTAGATATACAGATAGATCGATAGATAATAAATATGATGGAACTTCCATAATACATGGATATAGTGGAACTTTAATGGGAATATCATGGGCTTTAACTAGCAACCATGGGAATTGTTGAAATCCTGGTTGAAATTCCACCCATAAACATGGTGCAAAAATCTGTACAGATCATGGAACGAATATTTCATCCAATATAAGACCAGAAATGGGGCATACCACTACCAATATCAGAAAAATCAACTTTTGACCAACGACATTTGCAGATATTTCATGGGAAAGTATGGAGGTATTTAATGGTATGCAATGGAACATACAACAACCAATTATGTGGTGTGTCTAAAGTTGGGTACATCCATACATTTGCAAGTTTAATTGGGGAAAGAGTTACAGCATCACCACATGAGTTTTGGGGTGCCCTTCAGACAAACCCACATGAAGCAGGGACATTGCATAAACGGTTCCACCAATCCGAACCAAACGGTCTACCCAATGACTTGACCCACCAAATATGTCCTGCCGTATGAGTCACTGAGTCAGGGGTCACAGCTTGTGGAGTTCTGACAGCAAGTTCTTTTTTCTGCAATATCTGTCTCTCAGCCTCTTCTAAATCTTTGATTACGAGGTCGTGGTCGTCTCACAGGATCTCTGACTTGGCACCCGAAAAAATCTGTTGCAGCTTTGTGTCAGAGCTATCCCAGTAGCTGATTTACCGCTTTACTGTTCAAACATGGCCATTTTGGCAACGTCTGTTGAATTACCAGAGGGACCAGTCCCCCTGGTTGGGTCGAGGAGCAGCATGCTGGATGGCAACGGCTGATGCAGCAACAACGAAGTTTGGACGAAGATCAACGGACGTTGGGCAACAAGTCACCGGCTCAAAACGGCAAAATGGGATGGCGTTTTGGACTATTTGGGATGACTATTATAGTTATCTGCCCACACTTTCTTTTTTTAGCCGATTTTAGCCTTTCTTGTTAAACCTGTAGAATGTAGACACAGACACACACACAAACAAGACTTGTTTTGCATATGAGCTGCAGGTGGTCCAATGTATTTGATCGGGTCATCCTTCTGTTTGGTGTCACACACACCCAGTATTTGTGTCAGAGGGTTGAAACCTGTTGAAAAGACCAACCAGTTCTACCCCTAAATCCCAGACTTGGATTGTAAACAACACATAGAAACCCTGGTTTTTCTGTAGAGTTTCCCAACCCACCCAGCCCAAAATGAAGCAGTTCCCAAGGGGTTCCCAATGCAGCAGCGAGGTTACTGGAAACGACCCTTTCTGCGACCACAGAGGTGCCAAATCTATGGAAAATCCTTCAAAAAGATAGGTAAAATTCCCCTAGAATAGTGTGAAAGATGCCGTTTCTATCTCTTTTGGGACTCAAGAATACTTGGGCATATTACTGTCGTAAAGAATCTACTTAAAATATCTTAAAATTAACCCTGAACATATGATGAAGTTTTTTGACATGTTTAGAGTTATAGAAGTTTTAATAGTTTTTAATTGAAGATTGGTAACAATGTTAGAATCAACATTAGAATCAACAGGCTGAGAATATCATCTTTGATCATCGGGTATCCCGTATCCAGGTTCAAGCCCGAGAGCAAGTGGCCGCGATTCTCCAGGCGCGTAGCGAATAACGGGGACGCGAATCGAAATAAAGGGCTTCCGAAACCTCAATGATCTCATGGTATTTTTTCAATATTTTGTAAGTATTTGGTACCCCTGTTGAAGGGCATTGTTGTTAAATTTGTAAAAAAAACTTAGATACCACCGGCCTTGACTCACTTTTGTTGTTCACAGCATGTGAGAATTATATGTGTGGATCATCCCCTGCTGGCTGTGCTATTCCCATTGCTGCCGGCAGTGGTGGTTCATATCCAGCTGAATCCAGCTGGCTGTGCCGGCCGCAATTTGACATGTCCCGAATAGGATTCATCAAAATTGATACCATTGATACCATTATTCACCTATGGTATTATTCATCATTGGAATGGTATTATTCATCAATAGGATTCATCAATTATTACCATCCAAATTGATACCATTACCATTCCAATATATTCCAATCTCCAGATGTGGTTTGAGACTTCTTGATACCCAGAATGACATCAATATCTGCCAAAATACTGTATGGGCAATGGGCGTTTTTCAATTTTCCACCTTGGTGAGTCGTCCCTGATTCCCAGAGGATTTAGTGAAGTCGCTGCTGAATTGCGCGTCAGGGCAACTCAGCGGGCCATTTCCACCGTCCATGTGGATTCAAACATCAAAGATGTGTCAGTGTAGATTAAACCACGAAATATGGGGAGGTATCAACTGAGACAAGCAACAAGAGTGAGACTGTAGATAGTAAATGATAGTAACATATAGTAACTATAGCAGTCCAACCTTGCAAACTTCTCAAACCTCCCAGCAGTCTGGTCTGTTTTTGTGGGATTTCCCATGGTTGGTGCAGACCGACCCGCCCACGCATCCATGATACGACGATGTGGTGGTTTCAAAACTGTAAAATGTTCAACTGGGTGGATGCAGGGCATTCCTGGATGTTTTGCTGCTGTGGTTACTATAACTGGTTAAGTGTAAAGCGACTATAAGCATTGGGTATTGTACCATGATATACCGAACTGGTGGTTGTTGCATCTCAGGATGTGTTCTTTGATTCAAGTCCGAATAGAGATCAAAACATCAAGTTTCTAGCGTTTTTCACTACATAGAACCTACATGTTTTTCGGTTTCCTAAGTCGTGGGAGTATCCCAAAATCATCCAAGTTACTTAGTATTGAAACCTATGGCGACTTGGGGGATAACCATGACTTGCGAAACCTCCTGATATGTCGAGAGCTTGGAAGCCATGTTCAGCAGGGCGCCTGTCGCCAGGAGCGCCCTGCAAGCCTGTGGAGAGGACTTTCCTGCAGATTTTGACTAACAAAACTGGGGATATTTTTGGGGATATGTACACCAGACTCAGGAAACGAAACCATATACAATACAATGAAATACAGGTCCGAAACATGGGGTATCATGGGCTATGCCCAGCAACGGGCATCTCTTTTGGTCGATATTTTGAGTATGGACCATATTTAGGTTTTTCAACACAGACATTCTTAGGACGTTGCATGGTTGTAAATAAACAAAAGAACAAAAGCGCGTCCCTCCATTTTTCTATCTATTTTTCCCCTCAAATCAAATCCTTAGTTTTTTTTTAAAACACATTCTGCTAGATACTCTCCGGTAAACTAACAGTTTGCTATTGAAAATGGCCCATAGAAATATAGTTGATTTACCCATTAAAACTGGTGATTTTCCATATTTTTTTGTTAGTTTACCAGAGGGTAGATCCAATTTGTATCACATGGTAAACATCAGGAGAATCTGGTTGACATCAGGAGCCTGCCGTCGACAGCGGCGCGGCCGCGACGGATGGCTTTGATGACTTTCTGTGGCTGGGCTGGGTGAAAAACTTGGTGAATGGAATTTTTGAAAGGGATTTAGCCAAGCAAACTTATGTTTTAATGGGATTTCAATGGGATTTGGTACTAAAATGGGGATATGATTGATAGATGATGGTTGATTGGTTAGTCTTGGGGGTTATTAACCTGATTAATCGGGAATTGCTATAGCCCATAATGAGGATACCTACTGTATCCACCAACCAATATAATGGGATGGGATTGGTTAGTATTGGTTATTCTGGGGCCCACGGGTTATTGACCTATCTGATTATTTTGAGATTATGAAGTGACCCATGATAGGATTTCAGCCATCAGCCAACCAATATAAATGGGATGGGCTTGAGGTATACCTTTGATTGCCATAAAATTATTGATACAAAGTTGGTCCATTTATGTCCGTTCACTCTTAAAACCCATCCATTTTCTGGCAAACTGGTAGCTTGAAGCTTGCGACTGCAGAACTGATGACCAGCTTTGGTGTGGATCGTTTCAAGTGACTGTCATGTTTCCCTTTGGTCCCAATTGACGCGCCTATTTCGTGGAGGGGTGGCTCAAGCACCAACCGCCAATGGATCGTTGGTGTTGAACATTCGCATTTTCTCGGTGACATTTTACCAATTCTGTTGAACATTTACAATCCCCTATGTTTTTTTGTAGGTGAAGTTAAAGACCTTGTTCTTGTTGTCAGAATGAGAATCCCCCATTTGGGGTGGCCGGATATGTAAGATGTGTTGATCATGTGTTGATCTTCGACTTCCCAGGCAAGAAGTCCCCGCCGGCGGTGCTAGGGCGGAGGTGGATATCTTTGGCGGTGAAGAGCCTGAGGTCTTCAAAGGACCACGCCCTGCCGTTGCACCTGGTGGGATTTCAGCTGTCAGCTGCGATTTCAGGAAACCATGGGGGGATCGAAATCATCCATCAATAGGGGTAATATAGCCATCAGAAGGATTTCCTTAGATGCATAACTGATATCCCATAATATATATATAATATATAATATAATATAATATATATCTAAAAAAATGTCAACTGTCCTTATTTACCCGACCCTATGTCCCGACACCATGTTATATCATGTGGTCAGTTTATGCAAAATTTGATGCATTTTCCCTGGGATTTATATCTCAAGCTCCTCCAAAATTTAACCATGAGTAAGTGAAGTTGCACAAAAAAGTAGGGGAAAAGTTGAGGGAAATGGGGTGAAATATGGTGAAATGTTCCCCACCGAACCGCATTCCCACTTTCCAAGATTCCCTAAACTCCTCACCTTACCCAGATCTTGGGGAAATGTCCCAGAAATTGGGGTCGGTTAGACTAAGTGCCCCGTTTAGGTGGTGATTTGGCCACTGAGTCTAACCGACCCCTGCCCAGATGACCACCCCCACATTGTCCAGGAAGAGTAGGGGTCGGTTAGACTAAGTGCCCCGTTTAGGTGGTGATTTGGGCACTTAGTCTAACCGACCCCATCTGACCCTTAGAAATTGGGGAAATCTGGGAGAATCACCAAATTTGATGGAAATAGTGGACCCGCCAATGCAACACTTGGATGCATAGAGCCAAAACTTGGGGAAATGTGGAGAGTTGATTGATAGCTCGCATTACAATGAGCATTCCAAATTATGCATCATGTTGGGAAGCCAACATTATCAAGGTAAACCAGTTAAAACCATCAAAATGCCAAAATGGAAAACATAGGGGTCAGCTCGATAGGGTCAGTTGAAAAAGTCTTAGAATATAATATATATATTATTATATTATATATATTATATATTATATATATTATATATATTATATATATTATATATTATATGATCGAGAGACCTTTAGGTACCATTTTGTTCCGGTTAATTCTGATAATTTTGAGAGCCTTTTGGATAATTGAGAGGATTTGAAGAATTAAATGATTTAATCCTTTTAATCCTTTTAATCCTCCAGAGCCTTTTGGGGGATTAAAAGGATTAAAAGGACTAAATGATTTAATCCTTTTAATCCTTTTAATCCTCCAGAGCTTTTTGGAGGATTAAAAGGATTAAAAGGATTAAAAGGATTAGATGATTTAATCCTTTTAATCCTTTTAATCCTCCAGAGCCTTTTGGAGGATTAAAAGGATTAAAAGGATTAAATGATTTAATCCTTTTAATCCTTTTAATCCTCCAGAGTCCTTTGGGGGATTAAAAGGATTAAAAGGATTAAATGATTTAATCCTTTTAATCCTTTTAATCCTTTTAATCCTCCAGGGGGTCCGGAATTCCCGGCCCAAGCCGTTGAGAAATATATTTAAATCCATTTAATCCTTTTAATCCTCCAGAGCCTTTTGGGGGATTAAAAGGATTAGAGGATTAAATGATTTAATCCTTTTAATCCTTTTAATCCCCCCGCTGGGCTTTTCTTTGGATTCTGGGAGGTCTGGAGGATTAAAAGGATTAAAAGGATTAAATCCATTTAATCCTTTTAATCCTTTTAATCCTCCAGAGCCTTTTGGTGGAGGATTAAAAGGATTAAATGATTTAATCCTTTTAATCCTTTTAATCCTCCAGGGGATTGGGATTTAATCCTCCCTTTAATCCTTTTAATCCCGGCAGGGGGTCCGGAATTCCCGGTCCAAGCCCTTGAGAAATATATTTAAATCCATTTAATCCTTTTAATCCTCCAGAGCCCTTTGGGGATTAAAAGGATTAAACGGATTAAATGATTTAATCCTTTTAATCCTTTTAATCCTTTTAATCCTCCAGGGGGTCCGGAATTCCCGGCCCAAGCCCTTGAGAAATATATTTAAATCCATTTAATCCTTTTAATCCTCCAGAGCCTTTTGGAGGATTAAAAGGATTAAAAGGATTTAAAGAATTAAATTGCTGGGCTTTTCTTGGGATTCTGGGAGGTCTGGAGGATTAAAAGGATTAAAAGGATTAAAACGATTAAAAGGATTAAATCATTTAATCCTTTTAACCCTTTTAATCCTCCAGAGCCTTTTGGGGGATTAAAAGGATTAAAAGGATTAAATGATTTAATCCTTTTAATCCTTTTAATCCTCCAGAGCCTTTTGGAGGAAAAAGATTAAAAGGATTAAATGATTTAATCCTTTTAATCCTTTTAATCCTCCAGAGTCCTTTGGGGGATTAAAAGGATTAAAAGGATTAAATGATTTAATCCTTTTAATCCTTTTAATCCTTTTAATCCTTTTAATCCTCCAGGGGGTCCGGAATTCCCGGCCCAAGCCCTTGAGAAATATATTTAAATCCATTTAATCCTTTTAATCCTCCAGAGCCTTTTGGAGGATTAAAAGGATTAAAAGGATTTAAAGAATTAAATTGCTGGGCTTTTCTTGGGATTCTGGGAGGTCTGGAGGATTAAAGGGATTAAAAGGATTAAAAGGATTAAAAGGATTAAAAGGATTAAATCATTTAATCCTTTTAATCCTGTTAATCCTCCAGAGCCTTTTGGGGGTTTAAAAGGATTAAAAGGATTAAATGATTTAGTCCATTTAATCCTTTTAATCCTCCAGAGCCTTTTGGAGGATTAAAAGGGTTAAAAGGATTAAATGGTTTAATCCTTTTAATCCTTTTAATCCTCCAGAGTCCTTTGGGGGACTAAAAGGATTAAAAGGATTAAATGATTTAATCCTTTTAATCCTTTTAATCCTCCAGAGCCCTTTAGGGGATTAAAAGGATTAGAAGGATTAAATGGTTTAATCCGTTTAATCCTTTTAATCCTTTTAATCCTTTTAATCCTCCAGGGGGTCCGGAATTCCCGGCCCAAGCCCTTGAGAAATATATTTAAATCCAGTTAATCCCTTTAATCCCCCAGAGCCTTTTGGAGGATTAAACGGATTAAAAGGATTAAAGGATTTAATCCTTTTAATCCTTTTAATCCTCCAGATCCTTTTGGAGGATTAAACGGATTAAAAGGATTAAATGATTTAATCCTTTTAATCCTTTTAATCCTTTTAATCCTTTTAATCCTTTTAATCCTCCAGGGGGTCCGGAATTCCCGGTCCAAAAGGATTAAAAGGATTTAAAGAATTAAATTGCTGGGCTTTTCTTGGGATTCTGGGAGGTCTGGAGGATTAAAAGGATCAAAAGGATTAAACGGTTTAAAAGGATTAAATGATTTAATCCTTTTAATCCTTTTAATCCTCCAGAGCCTTTTGGTAGGTTCAACAGGGTTCCGGATAAAGTTCCGGGAGGCTTTGGTGCAGAGCCAGGTCAGGCTCAACAGGGCTCCGGGGTTCCGGAGAAGGTTCCGGGAGGCTTTGGAGCAGAGCCAGGTTAGGTTCAACAGGGTTCTGGTGAAGGTTCCGGAGAAGGTTCCGGGAGGCTTTGGTGCAGAGCCAGGTCAGGTTCAACAGGGTTCCGGAGAAGGTCTGGGAGGCTTTGGTGCAGAGCCAGGTCAAGTTCAACAGGATTTGTGGCCATTTAACTCACGGAAACCGAGCTGAAGTGTTTCCAGCGCTTGGCTTGGCAGCAGGCTTCAGAAAGATTAGTAAACATAAAACGTTGCGGCTGTTGGGCATACCACCGAAGCTTGTTTTCCAAAGACATTTGCTGTGGATGGAAATTGCATGTCCCTTCAAAGTTGCAAGAATGCAGGGGTGAGGCATGTCACCCTGCCTTTGGCAGCATTGTAAGTGACAGCACACGAGATTTCTTGTAAAGAAGCAACGCCCGGATGTTTGTTTGAAATTTCCTGGAACAAATATTTTTCGACAAGGGCCACATCACCACATGGGACTTTGAAAAAAGCAATGCTCTTGAGCTGCATTGACAGCTGGTGAGCCTCCATCCACATTGTGCAAACAGACAACATCACCAGAAGTAATTGTTGCCCCAGAAAAAAGTTTACAACGAGAGCTCTGCATGCAAGGCATTCCCACAGGAACCACGCCAGCATTGCATAGGAATGCCGTCATCTTCTTTGTGGGGCCCCCTTTTTGCATTTTGTAGGCAGGTGCCTTCTCTAAACAGTCTTGACTCTTCACCCAATGTATAGATGTGCCCTGCGATGACAGACTTCCTCAGAGAAGTTTCCCAATAGGTAGTGTTGCACAAGACATTCCCATGTTTTCTAGTGCCTTTGTGCTTCCTTTCCATGGTCCAGCATGCAGGTAATTGGCCATGCCTCTGGAGACTTTGACTATAATATGAAGTGACCAGTGCATCTTTGGCTCGAATTCTTCCGACCAGTCAGCTGCAACAGTTGCCTCCAATGCTGCTTCAACAAATGAAAGCAATTGCTTGTAGCCAGGCTTTTCCAAAGCAGGGATGGCTAGGCGATAGTCCAAAACTTTGCACCAAGCCAAAGAGCAAGTTGACCCCAGAAGACAAATGCCATTAGGCAAGCAACAAATTTGGACATAGTGTGCCAGCACCTGGTACAGACCCAGAATCTCTGAGGATGCATCTGAACTTCCCAGCTTTTTTGTGGCCTTCCACTGCTTTGGGCAGAAATAGCCTTTTCAAATTGCATTTGTGAATGGCAGGCTGGGCCCAAAGTTGCACAAAGCCATGTGCCTTCCAAATCTCAGCCACGCCACTGGAAGCAAGCGGTTGGATCCACAAAAACAAATACCTAGTTCAGCACACCATTTGGGCAGAGCCCATGCATATAATCATGCATGTATTGGGTGATTGGTCTCAGAAGGTTCTGGGACTTCAGCTTGTCACTCAGCAAGAGTGAATGCTGGGAATAATCAACCCCAGAAGCCTGGCTCCACCTTCTTAACTCGGTTTTGTTGCACTCTTGCATCCTTGCCCACGAGGACAGGATTTCTTGGTCTGTTGCAACATCCAACAGAGAGTTTCAGTCTTTTAAGACCTCCCTGTAAAAGTACCTCAGAATGAGGATGAGCATATTTG